AAATTAATTTTTTTATTAATTGGAATTTTCTCTTACAGCTTGAACCTAAGTGTGTCGCAGGATACCTTCTAGGTGATAGTTCTTGATTACTTTTTGATAAATAATTCGTTCTTATTGCGAAATAGGATCACTATTTATCAATCTGTAATAGAAGACGTAAGAAAATTCTGTCTTTTTTAAAGACAAAAAATTTTGAGGCCGAAATACCCAACAAGAAGTTTGTAAAAAAATGAATCCGCCTCAACAATATAGAACTTAATTAACTTTTAAATTAAGCCTTTTTGATTAATAACCTTCTAAGGATGCTTTCCTTAAAACCTTTTTGTGCTCTATTGACCAGATACAATTATACACCCGTATCAATATTGCCATAAGACCGCATTTTAGACACATATATAATGATTTTGGGACATACTTTGAGTTTTTACAGTTTGCGCCAGCTTCACTTTAGAGCCGATTTAAGCTAAAAGCATAAAATTCGGTATTTTTTTCAGACAACTTGTGTGGAAATGAATAATTTTAAGAAAAGATAAAACATTTAATGGGATTTTGAAACAACCTGCACTCGTACATTAGTGTTTAAAGCGTCATTTTTCTGAAAACCGCTTTACCTTGAGAAGATAAATTAAGATGGTTCTTCTTTTTGCATAAAAACGTGTGAGTCAATAATTTGATTTGAAAAATTAACATACGCAATAAAGTAAAGTGAGTAATCAGCATATGCATTTCTTAACACAAATCTTTTATCATTCCCACTTATTTAAGAAGGCAGAATTTCATAATGTTAGGGCAAATTTCGAAAAATTTTGACAAATAGGCCAAGTGGGCATCATTGAAATTGTCCTTTAAACTCCCTTTAAAAGCAAATTTTTGGTGGCGGTTTTTAATATTTGAATTTTTAGAGTCGGTCTCGAAACTTTATTTTCGCACACCATGTAGCGTGTGGGTTTTATGATCAATATATATTTTTAACGAAAAAAGCAAGGCGACTTTATAAATTGCCTACAAACTGCCTGAATAAATGCAGCTTAAACCGACAGCAATAATATGGTAGAAAACAACAGAAAGTGTGCCGGAATCCAACAAGTCAAGGCATTCCGACGCTCTTTCCCCTGTACCCTCTAGCCTCAAAAGACAAAGACAGCTTCCCAAGATAGGTTGAGGCTTAGAATGGAATCGGCGGATCGATGCACGTATAAAGCGTTAGAATAAAAAAATAGCTTGGTTTGAAACGATTTTTCTCTACTCTGGGGGATTATTTCTATTAAACCGTTATATTTGGCGCATGAGTTCTGTGGAGAAATATTTTATTTCCCTCGAGAAGCGAGACATGCTCAGAAAATTTAAACAGCTCCTTGCTAAAGACATTAATCGCCTGATAAATTTAAAAAGTTGGTTCAAAAAACATTGTCGAAGTCAACCGAAGCTTCTTCTCACCCGTTCTTTAGATTAAGACATTTAGTGCCACATCAAAGAATGCTTTGTGGGAATGGAACACTTTTTCTGGTTTGTACAGTACTGAGCTCGACAGGTGGTGGAATGTAATTTGTTCAACCAAGATCACATGATCGAATAAAAAATGTGTTTCAAAAATACATTCCCACTACAAGAAAATTTTATATCAAAATATAAAAGCTGTGGACTTTTATAGCGAAAAGTGTGCATATACGGACAAAATCGTTTGCGCTTAATAAAGGATCGTCTTAAACTAAAAATTGTACCTATGATTGAAAGCCAGTTTTTAAAAAAACGGCATTTTGTTACTTTAGTAAGTTCTAACGTTTAAAAAAGCTGTAAAAAAATTTATAAAATAAAGAGATCCTTCATTAACAACAAGCAAAATGTACTTTCGTGTCAAACCAAAAAGTTGCAATGTGTTTTAATATGTCTACTACTTTTATATTTCAAAATTGTATATTTTGCGAAAAAAACAATGGAACCTTGTAACTTGGTTAATGGTCATTAAAATGGTTTATAATTTTACGTATTTTTGCAGTTTATCGTTTTTTATAGTGATTAAACTTACTTATCCTAATAATAAACTTAAATTTTCAGAATAACCGGCTTTTGCCTATAGTGTAGCTAATTGTCAATCGCTGTGTATAAAATATACTCAGCCTTAAAGAAAAATGAGCACATTTTAATGAACGAGTACCAAAGCGCCCTAAAGCACACGTTTACGTCTCCGCTTGTCGGTAAATCACTTTATAAATATCAAGTTTAACCATACTTTATTCCCGACAGAAGTCTCTATTTCGAAATCTCTCCATTTTCGAACCCCTCGACTCCGTATCCTGTACCCACTATTTCACAGGAAAATTTGCAGGATAATGGAATTGGATAGAAATAAGGAAAAGGGAAAGGATGCTTTTCCCTCGGCAGGATTCTGGAGTTCACGTTTTGAGGGCCGGTTTAATGGCTATTTATACGCAGCGCTTTTTCCTTTGTGCGGAACCTTTCGGGTATACAAGGGTCAAACCATTAATTTCAGTTTGATGGAACGATGGTGTTGACGAAAGGATATCAGTACGGAGTATTACATATTAATTTATTATTTCAGCCACCGTCAAATTTACTAGACCTTCTTGGAAATTGGACTGGATATAAAATGGGAGTGGTGCCGGTAATCCAAGATCTGCTTGATTCCAACAATTTTTTTTTTCATCATACTAGATTTATTCAAAATCAACTGCATAGAAAACAATAAAGTCCAATTATAATAGTGCCTTAAATTAAACTGGACTATGCGATAAATATACTAAAAACTATAAATGTGATAAAACCTATAAACACCTATAAACTTTATTATTATTTGTCAGTATACCTTTTACCTAGAATTTGCTTGCTCAGGCCTTTACTTAACATCAGAGAGAGCTGAATATATAGATTGTAAATCGTCTTAAAACATATCATTTGGTTTTAAAAGATGCGATGTTTCCTATTCGAAAAACGCTTTTAAATGCATATTGAATTTCCGTAACAAAGCAACAATGACTAATATTTAAATATAAATCACAAAACCCTATTTCAATCAACCCATAAATTAATTACTTTCTTAAAATCAGTCAAACGAGAGAAGCATTAAAATTAAAATAAAATGCTTAAAAAGTAAATATCTACTATTCACATGAGTATAAAAAGCTGTCTTTTAGGCGAATTGTATCAGTAACCTTTTGTTAGGCTACAAGCGGAACAGAGAGCAAAAAGTACCTTAAATCGATAAAAATATTTCAGATCAATCCTTGTATTGCTATAATCAAATGGTGCTGATTGACGGTGAGATTGCGAAAACTTCAAGACAAGTTGCGACAGATAAAAATGTGTTTTTTCACTTGCCTCACTGAATCAAACCCACTACATAACATTTAACGTTTTATAACAGGATCTCCGAAGTTATTCGAAGATAAACCTCATCGAGCATTTTTAAAGTCGGATAATTAATGATCAAAGCTGGACGTTCGCTACACAATTTTGTAGAAAAAACTGCTATAAATTGCAAGAAAACTTAAAATTTTTCAAAACAATCTATTTGTTATTTTAGAAGAAGTAAGTCTTTTCAAAGTGTGAGGTCCTCCATTGAAAGAACACCTATTACCAAGACCTTAGTTATAAAAATACGTTGTTGAAAGATATGTCCAATTCCTCATTTTTCTGAAGTTATGAGCATTTAAAAATGTGAAGTTACACACTTACCATTAAACTGTATTTTGCCGTATTCAAATAGCACATTGAAAGCTTAGAAATTAACAACTATAGCAAATTGAACATGAGTTTATGAGACACTAAATTGAATTTAGTTGACTTCTATAATTTAAATATTGGTAAGTTGATTAAAAATATATAAAACCCAGGTACCTTCCTAAATAGGCTATGCGATTCGAGTAAAAAATCTCATTTTTGCTTTTCTTTCTCATCAGTCGCGTTATCACTTTCGCTGGACAATTCAGCATAATCTCTTTTTCTTGGAGGTGGTTTTGGTCTGATGCTTGATGACCCCGGTTCCAGCATCATTAGTAACTCACCATTCGCTTCACGTGATACAGAGTGTACCATAACCATTTGTTTTCCTAAACATACAACGTGTAAAGAATTTTTAATAATACTGACTCAAAACTAGTTAGAAGGTAGTCATCTTAAACGAAAGACAATTAAAATATTTAGTGAAAAGTGCGATTTGCCTAAATTGGATATTAGAACTATCTTCAGAAGCAGTGAAGCTTATGATAAAAAACAGTTTACACTAAATAAATTAAAATTTTCTAGTATAATAATATCGCTCTCTAATAAGTGGGAAAAGTTTTGTGACAATGCAACTTATAACAAACTCTGAATGCGAAATATGTAATTAAAGTCTTACCATCAGTTGAATCATCCATAGCAAGAACTAAATCAAATATGAACATTATGTGATGAAATGAACACACTTATGGCGTTTAACTCAAGCATATGAGAACATTCAATGTAAGATAAAAAAAATGCGATCAAAAAGTTACCTGCTCCTTTTGCTGTATTCTTCAGAAGAACTTTCGGGCGTAAAATTTGCGCATTTCCATAAGTGTTGTAGACATTACCAACAGTACTAAGAGAGCATTCAGCAGTGGAAGCACATTGTGGTCCCCATCTGGCAACAGTAAAAAATAAAACATAAAATTTATGAAAAAAAATAGTTTAGTGAATAATATATGCCTGAACATACATTTTTCAAATCTTGCTTTAGTGCCAACAATTCAAATTAATACTAATCTTTAATTAAATGATAGATTAATCATCTTTAATAAACATGAAGAAAACTTAAAAATACAACTGGAACGTTGGAAATGTATTACGTATAACATTTCAGATTTGCACTAAATTTGGAAACTGCTGGACAATGTGTTTTCCCATTTATTACACTATGGTCAAGACAAGCAAATTAATTTCAAATTTAATAGACAACTTTGGGTAAAAAAAATCGGACAAATTAGTTATTATTTTCAAATGCGCATATTTTCTAAGCTGAACATTGCATAAAAGACGCCTTAAAAATGAAGTTCGCTTCGCTTATAAAATAAGTTCGAATAAATGGGAGTACTAAATTCCTTCTACAGCGTCTCATTTTTTCGTTTTTTGCTACTGGCTTGTTGTTGACAAAATGATTTTTAAAGTTATATTTATTTAAAAGACCGCATCATCGCCAATGTAAATATTAGTTCTCTTTTTGCAAATAAAATATGATGTACATGGCAGACGCAAAAAAATTACCGACAAAAAATGACTAGTACTTTTGTCTACAATTCTCGAAATTTGCTGTAATTTTATTGCATCAAATTTCAAAGTGGCCAACAATCAATCCGCCGCTTACAAAATCTCACTTTTGCAACATAATAGATTTTCGAAATATTTGTTGATTTGAACAGATAGCTGTTTGAGCCCCCCTTTATATTTACATTTTTCCATACTTTTTTAGATATGCTATTGTAGCTTGTCTATACAGTTAAACCTGACTCACTCAGTATGTTACCACTTACTTGTGATCCACTACTTTAACAGTATTTTGCTTTAGAGCGGTACCCAAGACGGAAGATGATGTTTTTAATCCCCTAAAAGTACGTTTAGATTGTATAAGAGCTGAAAATATTTGTATATGTGCTATAACTTTACCTGTATATAGTAGCAAAACCTTCTACAGCACCTGCAGCTATTGTTAGTGCATTTTGCATTTTTTCAGATGCTTTCTCTTCGGACATTTTAAACCCAGACGACAGTAGTTTTGCGCCATGCTTCTGAATGTGTGGCGCTAGAAATTGACCCAAACGCATTGTCCCTTCGCCCACTTTATTGGCTGCAAAACGTTATTAACACCAATTTTCTCATGTAATTCCTCGTAGCAAATTTATAGACTAACCAACAAAGCCTGTTACTTGTACAGCCTTAGAAGTAGCTGTTTCAGCAATCTGGACGCCTTTTTGTAAAGAGTTGGGTACTACAGTGGGCTGTGCGGCTGGAGTCATGTTATCAATTATTTTGGGTGTCCCCCAATTTAAAAAATCTCCTATTTTATGGGCTCCTTTAATAATTTCCTGTGAAACCGCCCAAGAACCTATTAAAGAAAAAATCTGTAATCCTTAAGTCATTTAACAATTAACTTGAATATACAACAGATTACTTTACTTTGTTATGATAATGTGGTGAGCAAACAAATCGAATGGCTAGAAAATTCTCATTAGAAAGCTCATTAGAAATATTGGCTTATTTATTAGTAGACGAAAATTTTTAATAAAGCAAATAGAGTTATTACCATTAACTAGTGCACGTGATACACGAGTACTTGAATGATCTATGTCAGCTCTTCTTAATTTCTCTTCAAAAAGAGCCTGCTCGGTTTCTTGAGTAATGATTCCATGAAGAATACTTTCAAGCAAGTCAAACACATCAGCAGCAGCATCAGAAGGCAAAATTATACCAACTGACGATCCTGTAAAAACGAGTTTTACAATTTTTTTTAAAGGGAAGCAATTTTTAACTTTTTACTCCTTACAACGTTTATCATCTAATATACTATTATATATCATTTTTCGAAAAATCAGTCGAAGAAGATGCTACTATTTTTATTTAAATAAAAAAAATCTCCGGATTCCCACAAACTGCAAAAACAAACGTGAGGTGAATGCGCATTTGACCTTAGTATTTTTTTATTTGACCCCGAAAATTTATTATAAAGGACGACAAATCGTCTCAAATATTGCATATCGAAGCTCGGCGTGCGGTGGATCACTATACGCCTGCGGTCCGTTGCAAGCTGTATGTTTATTACCGGTATGGCAAAGATATAACCTTATGATAATGTCTTTTCCCGGTGCTCTTGAGTTTTAGGAGCCCGTCATGCTATACAATGTTTTTTCCTTCTTGTATTTAACTTCACTGTTCACTGTATTACACAATAAATAAAATAAAATAATAAGACTATTTTTCAAAACTTTAGGTTGGTCGACTTCTAGCAAATTCTAAGTAAAGCAGGGCTTCCCTTGCCTGCATGGACCGCAGGCCCCTGGTACACACATATCTACAAAAGTATGGGTGTTTTGTGTGGTTTATATCTGATATATCTTCGAAACAAAAGAAGTGAGGAAACTCAGTCTTGAAAATTGTATAACATGATGTATAAAAATTAGAAAATGGTTCATTTATCTTAGCTTATAATACAGCAGATTTTTTAATATCTTCGTTACGTTACCGGGAACATCTGAATGTATATCAGGTATAATAAATGCGCCGTAATCTGTTTTGTAACACGGCGATGCACCTGGTACCAAAGGATAAATCCAGTCCCCAATTTGCAAAATAGCTTTCGGAGTATTCGAGCTCCCCGAGGTTCCTGAAAAAACAAAAATTAACATATTTTCAAAAAAGACACTGAAACATGGATATTATCCACGACGTGGTTGCCTTGAAATTAAAAAGAATAGAACACCACACCTTCTAGTAGATAGATCTTCATCAGTTGTGGCTTACAGGTGGATACAACTTCACCACGAGGAGAAATAAAGTATAATCGAACTCCCGGATGACTGTACACTAATTCTTCATGTAAATGTGGATTCGGCTCTACACTAAGACCATTAAGAGCGGCTGCTAATTCGGTATAAGTAAGCCCTTCGCCTTCATAGTCTTCATCTAAAATATCATAATCAGAATAAACTCTGTCCAGTTCGTGTACCATTCTAGTTATAATTCTTACCACCTGAAGTGTTGAGTGAACTCATAGCTTCATCATAGGTTGGAGGCGGTTCTATATCATCCTGTGTCTTAATGTCATTAAATCGAGTCAACATTTCAGCACGCAATCTCTTAATTTTCTGTACCATAGCGCATACTTTTTCCCAAGTTGCATCTGAATTTTCGGGATTTTGCAAAGGAATGCTCAACACATCATCAATCAATAGAATCCCTTCTTCATATTTTTTTAGTGCCTACAGCGAAACAAGATACGGTGATCCATAAATAAGAGTTTCTAAAGCTTAATATTAATTCATAGAATATACTCTCAAACACACTCAAAATTTTTGTTGCACGGCCACACTAATAAATTCTTTAAGTTTTCACTTTAATCACGAATTCATTAAAATGCAATGAAGACACTTATATTTTGAGCAATTCATTGTGTATATTTTCCTGACTGTATTTCAACTTAATTCAAAAGAAAATTGACTGGAACCCAGGAATTTCTTTTGAATTTTGAGCAATACAAATGGTTCCAAAAATTATTGAATCAAAAACTGCGATTTTTACTTTTCTTTCTGGAACTAGATTCTCAACGTCTAGTTTATATTTTTCTCTTGAACCAGATGGAAACTAACAATGGTGCTTTTATGTAGGTTTTATTAGAAAACTTGTTAATTTGAACTGTATTTAGTTATGTTGTTGCAAATTTTTCTAGTAATTTAAAAAAATGTGCCAAATAATTCAATAGAAAAATTGTTCGCAATTTTAAGTTGTAGCCCCATTTAGCTGTTTACTGAACCAAAAAAAAAATAATTTAGTTGCCCAATTTTCAAAGCCAAGGGTTTAGTTGTCATTTTAAATTGAACTATTCGAAAGAGTTGCTCAAAAATGTTTCCCGATTTTAATATTTATGGTGCAGGAAAGCAGGCAATAATTTAAAATCTAAGCCACACAAATAAGCACATTTTCGATGTATCCGTTGCTGAATTAGTTCGAAGTTTAGCGAAACAAAATCGACGGAACGATGCAAACCACAAGCTTCCTAAAAGTTCACGGGTAACTTGATTTACATAGGACTTTAAATATTACATAACACTGATAATATATCTTTAATAAGCGGTTTCTGGAAGGAACTAGGAAAGTATTTTAATATGAATTAATAAATATAAAATATTTAACACATTTTATTATGTTGACAAATATATTTCAATGCTACAACGTTGCGGTCGTTTTTCATACGAGGGTCGTTTTTTATTACGTCCTACTAACAGTATCTTATACTTAATTCGATTATTGCAAATCGAATTATTATTTAGATTATTAAATAAGAGATATAGATATAGCCATCTCAATTATAAAAAAAATCGATTATTCCTATCGGAGTTGTCGACGGGTCTTTCTTTTAGCTTATTTCGTCTAATATGTTTTATAGAAGAGTTAAGTATATCAAAACTAGAACCGTATGATTTACACGGGATTCCAAATATTACGTGACAATGATAATGCAGTATTAATACGGGTTTTGCTCAAAGAACTAAAAACAGGATTTAATGTGAATGGATGAGAGAATATCTTCTTTATCAGTGAATCTCGCAAACAATAAGGTTTCTGCTGTAATTGTTCTTTGGAACTGTCTTCGGTATGTCTTCAATTCAAATCAGTAATGGTAAGAGGTAACTTCCATTGCTTTGATAGGTAAGTAATGAACTAGGTATGCTATTTTCGATGTTGCATAGTCTAAAAACTGAAAACAACTTTCCAATTTTCAACTCACCTTGTCAAGTTTATTTTGTTCTTCAAAATTGATGGCATCCTCGAGAGCCTTATAAACAAGATCGTGCTTAGTTTTGAAAGATAAATATGTAGTACTCCACATAGTTGAATTTACCCCTCCAATATCAGACATCTTTACAAGAGTCGCTGGATGTATGAACGTCTAAACAAAAAACAAAACGCACCGAAATTTGAGTACTTTGCGGTAGGTACATATATCTTATAGCTGATTTTCAAGAGTAAAATTATATATGTGAATCAAGTTACACAAATGAAATATTTCTATATGAAACCTCATCTAAATATCTATTTATCTAATGTATTTTTCCAGAAGGTCCAAAGTTTATTAATTTAAATGTAAGTGTTTGGTGAAACCACTTTGAAGGATTTTCAGATAAATATAACCCCAAATTCCCGTCCAACAGAAGTAACAGCTGACACTGGTCAGCTGACCAGACAGGTGACATCAGTCAGCTGATTGTCAAAAACCATGGAAAATAGATTAATCTAACGATTTTGAACGTAAGTACTCGTTTTGCGTTAGACGCTACTAAAATGTAATTTAATTTTTGAGCGATTGAATAGATATAAAAAATGAGTGTGTTAAAATTGTGTGCGGTTTTTTATCTAACTAATGGAAATACTTTGCCACTGATCAGTGCCACCTAGTGGGACGCGTATATATTATGCGACGTTGCCAGGCGATGGAAAATATCCGCACCTTCAGGAATTTATTTTAAACGATTAACTTTGAACTCAATCACGTGAGCGAAATTGCAACATTCCTGACAAATATATTTCCCTAGTTCATCTGCGGATTAAGTAATTAAGTAATAAATGTAGGACCTATCATCCTGGATCAGGAACTACTGTGTTCGTATACGTATATATCGAATTATTAATTACTTGGGCGAAATATGGCAATGGTGTTCAGGATCATTTGAAAAATATGCCTTGCACATGCGTATTGCGATAGTGACAACCAAAAGCAGGAATTTTCGCACTGCACATTCCGATCGTTCGGCCGTTCGTTCAGCACCGTCTTTTATCGACACTGTTCCGTGGTAAGTCGGCGATAAAATTTGTGAGTAAAAATTTTCATCTTTGATTTTCCAACTAAATTTGAGTCATCGTGTCGTAATAATCGGGTCCGTTTTGTAGCAAAAGGGTTTAGTATCATTGGTCGTTTAGATTTTTCAGAAAATCCCGTAATTTATACGAAATTCCCGGTAAAATGTACGCAATCCAGTTGCCGACTCAAAGATGTCGGCCATTACAAATTCGATTGTTTCCTTCAAATTCAATCAATTTCAACGTGTCAAAACGGTGTCATTGTAATAGGAAATTTCAAGCAATTTATCGTGAACTAAACCCTTTTAATTACTTGTAAAATAGTATTTTTCACTAAATTTGGCCCATTCCGTTACGTAACCACAGATCATGAACTTTAGCTAGGCTAAAGTTTTTGACAGTTCACTTCAAGATCTCGTTGGAGTAAAGTGGCTCGTGATTTGTTTTAGGCTTTAAGTCCCTTGAAACTCAGCAGAAATATACAAAAATGTTCGCCGCCGCCAGACTGATCGCCCCTGCTGCCAGAAGCGCCGTAAGTATAATTTAATTTATCGAATTTTTCGCAAGTTTGTCCGCCCATATCTTGTCGTTCACCTTCATGGGGTTACATAATGATTTTTCAGAGTTTTAGGGTTTCTTGGCTCCCAGCTTTTATATTTAGAATTGCAACTACCTTTTTTCTACTAATTACAGCATTATGTAATCATTAACATATCTTTCTTACATTACAATTATGTACAATGGCGGATTATATAATAGAGAATCATTTCTGCATTTCTCTGTACGGGCAAGGATTATTCTGTTTTACATACAATCTATACTTCCATCTGTAAATTCTAAAGTAGGTTAGCCGATGGAGATTGGAATTTCAAATAATACTTTTGAAAATCTGCGATATTACATAATTCCAAAACTAAGACTAAGTAGCAGTAAATCCACATAGGTACATCAAATAACCACTGTTATTTTACCAGTCTCAGGTGCAAGTTCTTAAATTAATTGCAATTTTTCAGGAAATCTATTGATTTTTATGTAACCCCATTTACTTTTTCTGCTAGTTTAGGTTAGTTATCTAGAAAGGGCATTAATTAAAACGACTAAATGGTCTTATTTAATCCAATACTGTTTTTCTCTTTGCGCCAAAGTTAAATTCAGTAATTGTTCTTTGACCCTCTCTTATCTTTTGCTGGTTACTTAATAACAGGGAAACCCAATAAGTACAGTTCCGAATATATATGATGATATCTATATTTTAACTGATTATTCAGTGATATTTAACTTCCTTGGATGTCTGAATTTTGTCACCTCACCACCGACTGCTCCACATAAATGTGCCATTTGATTCAGCAAGTTTTTTTCTTGCAGATTCTCAGCAACTCAGTACAATACCTTAGGCCACTGAGCAGTGCAGTCAGCCAGAGTCATTCTTTGGTCCAGTCTGTCCAACAGAAACAGGTTTGTAAAATTCTTTTCCGTATAGCTATATTACATTGAAAACAAATAGTTAATTCGTATCACTTGCAATCTGTGTTCACATAAGCATTGCATAATACATATCTTCGATAACAATTGAAACATACAGGAAAGAATGAGTAATAAGTAAAATATTGCTTAGAAAAAGCTGAACCAGCATTTACTTTTATAAGGAATATATGGATATGTATTTTTACTGAACATATTTTAAGACAAATGTTGACTTCTATCTTGTAACACTCGTTTTATCGCAAAATATAACATCGGGTAAATTTTCCAACCACATGTGTTTTGATTATGCAATTGAACTGCAACCATTTTACTTGCTTTTGATAATTGAAATTAACCCTATATTACTCGTTTTTTATTTCTATACGGAAAGTTCGTTGCAGAATTTCTCGAAAAAGCCCCAATGTTAATTAAAAAAATTATTGGAAGAAGGCAAAAATATTATTTATGAAGTCTTTCTTTCTTGATTACCAATCGCAATTGAGTTCTTGTGACACTCGTATTTCAGTTTGTTTAACAGAAAAATCAATACAGTTTCAGGTTTTAATCATCTTCAGATTTTAAAAGTTTCAACATTAATAAAAAAGTGGAAGAAATTGGATTCAATTGTTGTATAAAATGTTCAATGAGAAACAATTTAAACTTTTAAAAGTGTCAGTTGTTATAATGAATACACTGATTTAAATATAATATTTATTATCGAACAATTATCTGCATTTGTTGAGTTGTGGAGAAATACATTCACAAATAAAATCATACATTTAGAGTTTCTTTGGGAGGCCTGATGATGGCAAAAGTAGTTGGCCGAAGAAAAATTGTGCTTTTTCGCATACCTCACCACCAATATTTTATAATAAATTTTTATGTTCTTGGAGAAAAAGTTTCAACTTTTCAGCGCTGGTCAACATTGTAATTTTTTTAATTTTGGCAATATAGGTCAGTCTTTTGCCAGCCATCCGTGGAATCCAGACCAGTCCTGTATCAAGGGACATCGACTCTGCTGCCAAATTCATTGGTGCTGGTGCTGCCACCGTAGGAGTAGCTGGCTCAGGTAGGTTCATTTTTTCAATTCAGTGTATGTTTTGAATGCATTGTTTAATGTTGGTAATGTGTGCATATGAAATATCCACATCCTCACATTTAACATCTTACCTATGCACATCCATATCCACTAACCCCCATATTTTAGGTATTGGAATAGGAATGGTTTTTGGATCACTAATGATAGCTTACGCAAGAAATCCCTCATTAAAACAGCAACTCTTTTCATATGCCATATTGGGTTTCGCTTTGTCTGAAGCAATGGGGCTTTTTTGTCTCATGATTTCCTTTTTGATGCTGTTTGCCCTTTAGTTTTGTTTTAATTTATAGTTAATCGACAGTTAACTGCTGTTGTCTTGTAAAAGTAAGGATATTTTTTGCTTCTACATTGGCCGCATTTTGAGAGAACTATCGTTTAACTATAAAATGAAACGGGCGTTAGAGTTAAGAGTAACTAACCTGGTGGGTTTTCACATTGTAAATAATAAAAATTATATTGCTAGATTAGATATTTGTGTTTGATTGTTAAATGTTTTAAAAGATTTTATAGCATTTACTGTTTATTTCGTTTTGTATGGCTATGGTTTCTAGTGCATGTTGTAACTAATACGGACATTTTTGCTACGAAGCAGGTAAGCAATTGGAATTTTTGCGTTTTAGTTATGTTCGCAATATGTTTATAAGTTTCCGTTTTTCATTTTTAGGAGCCGGTATTGGAACAGTATTCGGTTCCCTCATCATCGGTTATGCAAGAAATCCAAGCCTGAAACAGCAACTTTTCTCATATGCCATCTTGGGTTTCGCCCTGTCTGAAGCTATGGGTCTTTTCTGTCTTATGATGGCCTTTTTGTTATTGTTCGCCTTCTAAGAAGGGCATTTTTATTAAATCTAATAAAAGTATGTTACGTACCATCTTAAATCATTTTTTTACAGTCTGTGTTGTTTATATTTCGTTATGAGAATGGAGTCACTATAACGTTGTATAAGCGATGCTATCGCATTAAGACTCTGAAATTATAATTAGAATTATCTAGGACAAGTATATGATTTATATAAGAGACTTTGGGCTTGCTATTTATTAAGAACTTAAAAATCATATATTTGTTTCATTGTTAGTAGATTCCATATGGGAGTGAAGAAAAGGCCGAATCAGTGACAAAAATCGACTCAATGCATATTGTACAGGTTCAAGAGCAAATAGAAATGTCAATAAAACACCCTTAGTTGTGATTTTTTTTCAATATACGTTAGATTTTTATGTCCTTTTCCTTTAATTTCACTCGAATTACGGAGCAAATTGTTTAGGTGTACTTCAAATAAACGTTTATGATTTTATACATATTTTATTTTTATACCACACCTCTGTCTACCTCTGCTCCGCTCTATTTAGACCTCTCACTCTATTTGCAGCGGTCTGAGCGACCAAGCTTTCAATTTGGCGCCATATTCAATTTTCTTTTATATATTATTTAGCCGATCCGCGAGAACCGTTCGCAAAATATGATATGATTTCTGAATGCTTCACTTTGATTGCACTATTAGGAGCGACGAAAAAGTCGCGCTTTTACTCAACTGCACGCTTTCCTTTAACAATTTAACTTCCCATTTAGAGCAAGTAGCAACTTGAAACTTTGACATCTTATAGAAGACTCATGTGGTTGACAGCGCTTAAATTTCCATTTCAATCGCGCTAAAGTCTGATTTTTGCCAACGGTTTGAAAGATGGGTCCAAAATTCGCAGTGAAGATGTGATCGCAGGAGAACACCTCTATTTTACATAGTAAAGCAGTCTACTGTGGCAAATTTGAATAGTTAAGATTGAGCAAAAAAAAAACGAACTGTTCTTATTGCTAATGTGTATAAGAACCGTTTAATTTCGTGTTTAATTCCCGCAAGGAAAAGTAATTATCTGGTTTTGGGCTCTTTGGATTTAGTTAATAAAAAGTGACTTCCGTTGTAGATTATCTGACTTCTTATATTCCGTAAAACAGTTACCGAATGAATAAAACACGTACTTGTAATCAAAAAAATGTTTTATTATGTATTGCCGTTTACCCATGATGTTTTGAACTATATCCTAATGTTATATGTCTTAAACGACGTTTAAAAATGTGTAGCTGGCCAAATAAATCTCACTAGACAGCAAAACAATCGCAAATACGGGAAATACAGATGTAATTCTAGTTCAAGATTTAACATGATAAATTACATGGTCATGATGACGCCAATGGGAATGTGTTGTTTTTTGTAACGAAAAACTGATCTGTATATGCGTATATAATGAATCGATAGTCTAGTGGAGCTTTATTTGCCACTTAAATTGTTATTACAATTATTACGATACTTATTCGTAGTAAAGTATTAGTAATTAATATAATTTACATAACAATTCTCCTTCTACGCCCATTTTGCCTATTGTAGTGATTATCATCGTTATTTTTTTTCAGTTAGTCTTTGAATTGCATCTAACGAAGTTGTTTACATAAATCGAAAAAAATAATACCTATAAAAAGTAGATCGTGGTTTTTCAAATGCGAATAGAAGACAGATCGAAAGAAAAAATAATATTTTTTTACATTCGTAACAGATTTATAGAAAACCTCAAAACACTCGACTTAACTAAATATCGTTGTACAGAATAGCTACAATTTTAAAGATTTCTTTTGCTACCGTTCTAGATTGTTATCGGAAGATCCATGTTATAAAACCAGTGGTCGTAACACTAAGCAGACTATTTTCTATTTAATATTAAGTTGAGTGCAGTAAAAAACGTAGTTTGATTTTCGACATAACATTGATGAACACTGGGAAAAATCGTCTGCTTAATTTTACTTTGCCTCGTAGTCTTACGAATCGATGCATTTAACTAGATGCATGTGTATAACTACGATTTGATTAATCGAATCATCTGGTTAAAATCATCAAAACCTTAATATATTAGCCTTAATTAGAATTACCATACAAAACATCAACGTTCTATAATTCTTATTGTTCAAGGAAAACCATTTTTGCAAAGCTCTTATTTGTCTTCAACAAATTCATGTGATATAAATGTTCGGACCGATCAAATTCATCTTGAATGGATTACTCCGAACATCAAAACAATGCCTTATAAAAACAACATATTGTCAACTTGTATTTTCACACCTCTTCGGGTACCATCTGTAACAACGCCATTCGCTTTTTGGCCACTTTGGAAATTACCACATCAATAGGTTTCGTCGTGTCGTATAATGAGGGAGCGTTCAAAATGATTACCCCTGTACCTACGACGCACGCCAATGTGAAAATCCATAGGAAAAGACGATCTAGAACCATGGCAACGTATTTCCAATCTTCCTCAACCTGGTAAAACAACGATGATGAAGAAATTTGTTACCTACTAATTCAAATAGCTTCGACTTGAATGACGCTCGATAAACGTGCATTGTTCTATTAGAATACAATTTTCTCCGGTAATTGTTAAATATATTTTCTAATTTATGTCGAGGGGTTTAACTGTCGGATTTCATTTTAAAGATTTGCGGCTTTTTGTTTGAAAAACTTCAGTATGGAATTGCTGCAAGGTATCGTATAGAAAGTAATTTGATAAAGAACTGCCAATATTGGTCATGTTTGCTATATTTATCCTAGTTCTTATTCTATAGTACTTACATTTTCAAAACTATCTTTGTTTCTCACATGTTGAGCAATGAATTTCGAATCTGCGATAGTTTTCTCCATATCGTAACCGTCTACCCTTCCAAATCCGGGACTTACGTCACTAGGAGGGTCGAAAGCACCAGTTCTGCAACTTGCAGGACTATATAATTCGTCATCACCGCCAGCCAACGGGAGTGGAAATGGTGGCTCATCAAAACAAGCCAATCCAGGTGGAGGAATTTCAAATCGTCCACCTGATAATCCTGCAGCAAAAAGGACATTGTGGCAAGGAGATTAACGTTACAAAATTAATCATTTTGGCATGAAGATCTCATAGCATATATTAATTTGGTTGAAACATTTTAAGCACGGAGGACAATCGAGGCAACAAGGCCTAGAAAGTACAAGAGAATGTAAGAATATGTTTGGAACGGTTAGGGACTGCACATTCAACACAATAGCGGCACTTAACTACGAAAAACTTAAAGAGATCTCAGTATAGAAGATTTGTGATTTTACAAACGACAGATCAGGTCTAGAAATTGAGGAGTTTTATAGAAGAAAACATGCGAGAAGAGGCTAAAACAAAACACATATTGTATAGAAGGTAGAATTATAATAATTATTAGGAGTCGAATTGCCAAAAGTGTGCCAATGTGCCAAAAGCTCCTTGGTGTAGACATCCCTAGTTGTAATTAATTTTATACTCAACTGAGTGCTGATTGCCTTGAGCATGGCAAGAATGGGAAACTGGCCCGAAAAACTGGACAAAAACCCTTATACCGGATGTTCCCCCTTAGTTTAAAAGGAAATGGGGTAAAACGCCGTACCAGATGACACAATTTCTTACCGAACATGGGACCTTTGGTACTTACACTCACAGAATAAAAAAAACGCGATGATAAGAAATGTAGGGGCCTGAGTACACAATATTTGAGTGTGCTCAATGGAGCGGAGAGCGCGAACTCTTTATTTGGAGATTGGAGAGATATTGTCCGCAAATGGCATAATTAACAAACAAACATGGAACAAAATAAATTACCACATCTGCCATGTAATAGAAGCAAAAGAAAAAAAATAAAGGGAAATTCAATAAGCCTTGTAATCTGGCGTAAGAAAACCGACACTTTTGCAGTCGAAGAGGAAAGGGTTTTAGTGGGTCGGGGTGCGCTCCATCCCCACACTCCCCCAGGCGCCCGAACACCAATGCCTGGGGGGTCTGTCAGCAGATTTCCCAAACCTCTTAAAAAAAAAAAAAAAAAAGATTCCGCTGAGGATGATCAAGAAATTTCAATTGGAAAAATTCTAAAAGCTCAAAAATAGGAGCCATTTTACACATCTTCCTGAATATGTTTAAAGTAAGAAGTTTCCCTTTCACACACAAATTTAAGCTGCTAAATTTTCAATATTTTTAAAGAATATTGCTAATTTAAAGTATTTTTTTTGCCGATATACTCACCCAGATCGAAACTTTCGAAAGTTGGTTTTTCGTACATATTGAAGGGACCAGGTATGTGAAGAACATCGGTTAGCATACACTCTTCGTTATCATCGTCATCTTTTTTGGGTCTTTTGATGAATAAAATTGGTGGCAGCGTTTCAATGAACACGGTACGAACCCACGGGGCCAATTTATGAGTCACTGGCGATCTGCAAGAATATTATGGATAAACGTTTCCTGCAGTTTAGTGAATTTGAGCGTTTTAAAGTGAACTCATACCTGAAGTTAACATTCAAGACGGCAATAGTTACAACCACTGACAATGTACAGAGCAACATGGTGAATAGAAGATATTTTCCCAAAAGGGGAACGGTGATTGATGTGGGAGGAATGGTCTCGACGAGGAGCAGAAAGAAGACAGTCAACGAAAGCAGAATAGAAATACTCAGAGACACTTTCTCTCCACTGTCACTGGGCAGGTAAAATACCAGAATACTTAGGAACGAAATTCCAACGCACGGAATGATTAAATTCACTGTATAAAACAACGTCTTTCTTCTTAGCGTTAAATTGAATATAATGTCTGGATAAGGTTCTTCACAACACGAGTAGTACTTTTCGTTTCGCACCGCGGGTACTTTCATGATGTCCCATTCCACGGATATGTAATAATCTTGCAGGTCAATCCCTACTGCTATATTATTGCTGTTTTCTCCTTGTTTGAGATGCCGAAGATCAATCTGCAATAAAATTACATCAGTGTAATAATTGAAGATAAAACCTTTGTTTAAAAAATGATGTATATAATATTTGGAGATTGAAATACGTAATTTTCATATAGGAGTAGAATGCATGTATGAAATCCAACAAGGAAATCACAATCTAAATGGTTTTCTTTGGAGATTTTTGGGTTTTTTAAACAGTCTCGCTTAAAAGCGGTAGTGTGCAGTGCCCGAAATAATCAATAAGTACCTTAATGTGCAACATTATACAGGGTGTCCCGTAAGCACATGATCAAAAGGACACTGCGATATTCCTTGCATCAAAAGAAGACGATCTGACCTAACTTATCAACAAAAAATGTCTGGCTCCTCAGCTATTGATGGTCAAATTTCTTCCAAAAATCTATCTGATTACAAGTTTTACACTTTTTCCATTAAAACCACAACAGAACGATTTTTTAACTGTGAAGTTTCATTCAACGTTTTTTAAAATTCGATTTGTTGTTCAGACGCACGCGAAATTATCAGATTTATTTATCACAAAATGTATATAACACTACAAAATAACGTAAGAAGTCGCGGACCTCGCGGGACAAACTGAATTGTAAGAAGTGGTATTCAAGTTTACTTTTATTTTAAAACCATTGTCCTACGCGATGTTTTACGATATAAACGGAGCAGAGCTTCCTTATACGTAAGTCAGTTTCGAAAAATATTCAACCAACACAAAACTTTTATAGATTTGAGAGTCAACACCCTGTATATGATCTCGATGAGATATAAATTCTGAATTCAGCACTTTGTTTGGTTATTTGACGCAAACTTAGTAACATTTTAAATCTTTTAGCAAATCAGTAAATCTTGCTTTATTGTCAGACTTACTCGTCTTCAAGACTTTTTGAGTAAATATCGTAAACTTTTATCGCCAATTTAGTTCTTTATGACTTTATCTGAACTTTCTCAGTTTGCCTCTCTTTAATTTGCTTTCGTCTTTTTGGAAATACCCTATAGTTCAGATGTTTTATAGCTTTGTTTTGCTTGCCAAACTACGCTTCGATCCAAATGAACGGGATTTTAGGCAAGGCGAGTTCTACGAGATATAGAATGAAAATTTAATATTTTTCCGCACGGAATTTCAGCACATAAATATGGGAGCATGTAATCCCTTTTATGTATATTTATGAGTTATTTTTATTTACACAGAAGTTGAGCTTACAGTGTTACAATTTCGAAATGTAATGTTATAATATCACACAGAACTTACGCATCAGGTTTGCATATATACTTTCGGACAAAAAAAGCGTAGTAATTTAGAAAATTGAATTTATTACCTTATCTCAGAATGAACCCACAGGTAAATTTATTTATCTGATTATTAATCGCTTGGACTAACAAATAGTCAAGTTGTTTTAATCAAAATGATCTGCTGGTTGAAATTTTTTTCTGTAAAGATGAGGAAAAATTAAGCCAATAAAATAATTTGCATTGTAAATTAGATACGCCAAATCCCATAGATAATTAAGTATTAGTAATTTTTTTTTCACGATAAAGCAGTATGGTTAGGAAAGGTTTGGCCATAGTTCGGAAAATTGATAAATCGAACATATCGTATAAGTTGGAGAAATATTCTCACTTTGTCCACTCAGGCTTTTTGCAAAATATTCTCTCTTTTCTTTGAGCCCGGGCAATTTTAAATAACCATAATTCATAAAAATATTGATAATTTAATTGCTAAAATCCTTCGGTTTAGGATGAGAAAAAAAACGGAAAAGAACATTTTTCTTGTGCGAAAATAGTTGCGGTTCACATAACTCACCAGATAACCGTCGTACGTCCAACTTCCGAATTTCATGAAACAAGTTTGTTCGTCGAATGGAAAGTATTCAACGTCAATTTCACAAAAGGATTTATAGATCGCCGGCGGTTTCCAGATCACTTTGCCCGTGTGATGCAGAATCGCTTTGGTCATGATTGTTACCTCGTAGTTTCCGTCCGCGCTGTAAAAGAACGAAGAGAAGATTTAGTAAACTCTGCCAAACTTTCCTGAGTGTTCTGCTAGTATTTTTATAGAAGTTTTGTATCATTTACTTGTTATAAAGCACTATATCCGGAAGCCAAATATGTTCTGATGGTACATGCAAGGTTTCTACTCCCCCATAGTCATCCGGGTTCCATTTTAGTTTGTAATCATTCCATTCCTGCAAAATATTTTTTATACTGCAAATCTTGCACTTATAATAAATGATAATCTGAATAGATTTGGTTTTTCTCCTATATAAGTTTCGTTTTTAACATGAATTACCTGCTCTACCCAGACGTTCGTCGTCATAATTTGACTCTTCAAATTCTGGAAAAAAAATGTAATTTACTTTTTTATCTTCTGTTATCCAATCATGTATGAAACATTTAAAATGAGCAAGACTGTTGAGAAAGTGTTTCAATTTTTTTTCGGGGTTGAGCGTTTCTGGCGAAAAGCCTCGATTTTTCAAGCCTTCAGCTGAAAATCGAGCGAAATAACTGAAATTAAATCACCATTTGTTAAAGCCAACGATAAAACAAATGGAAGAATTGCAATGTGGAATTGAAAACTACTATTTGCTCTTCGTGGTAGCCTCAAGTTCATAAATTATATAAAGTTAATTAAAATTTTGTCTGCCTGTAATATCGCTGCTCATCGAAGGATTGTTGAGACAGTGAAGTATTTTAGGAAAGTATCGAACTTACCACGTCGATTAATTGTGATAATTTTAGTCCCATTTTCACAGTCAATCGATCTGAATTGTTTCCGACCGGTCTTATGAGCCTGTTGTAATTGCTCAGAAGATCATCGTAGAGTCTCTTTGCTTCCGGGTTGGCATCTAGTAAACCTACTGGCCCAGTTGTTAGTATGAGCAGTGCTGCTAGCAGGCACTCCATTTAGCAATCTGAAACATGATTAAAAATTAACTAAATTGGGCAACAGGAAAACTACTATTAGGTAATTTTTTAAGCAATATAAAACTTATTGGCTTACTCCGTTCTTTTAGTCTTCTTTAGTAAATTTTTGTCATTATTAAACTTTGATTTTCTACGCTCTTTCGGAAACTGAAATAGTAACTAAAATGATAACGTCATTAAAAATAAGTTAATGCTTTGCAAAATTGATGGTTTTAATCTGAATTTTAACAAGTGGTGTATTTAGATGTGAAGGGTAAAGAAGGGAAGGCATTTGAAACTATTGAAGACAGAAAACGGGAAGGAAATAAAACAGAAAGTTGAGTAAAAGATCTTCAGAAACCAATTAACTAGATTATCAAGTTTGAAAAATTACACATTTGGGAAATCTGTTAGTACGAGAGGAGAAAAATGAGAATAGACATGAGAGTAGAAATGCATATTTATGCTACGTTAGGTGTTAAACAGAAACGAAAGGAATTTAAATATATTAGAAATTGGGCAAACTAAATAGAAGAGTATTTAATTCAGAAATTTAATTTTCAAAAATTTGGAACAAAGAAGTTTGAAAGTGAAGCTAAGAAAAAATGTGGAAAGCAGATATAAAACTGACTGAAATGAGAAAAACTAACACTACAATCCCAGGGCTTGATAATTACAGAAAGTTATATCCAAATTGATTTCTGAGTCCTTTACTATTCGTACGACGAATAGATGGTTATAGACAAAACAGTTACAGTTAAGACGAAAATATGATACAGAAATACGAAAGTGGTAATATCTGAAGTAGAGATGTTGATCATACGAAGAAGATGGTTAAAAAATCTAAAGTAATAGTAGTAAAGACGGGAAAATTATTGAAGATTGATAGAGACAAAGTGTAGCTAGAACAGTCGAGAACTATTATTTCAAATTTTAGGTCGCACGTTTTTATCTTCTATCTCTTACAACATTTATAATTAAAWWTTTATATCTCGGACATTTCATATAAAAGATTCATGTGCTGTAAAGAGCGATCATTAAGGTTTATGTTACCTTTTCCATTACATAAACCTCTAATGGTAAGCGCATGTATAGGTACATTTGTTTTAAAACTACAATTACATTCAGATGCAATTGAGCTTCTAATTAATAGAATTATTAAAAAATATATATTATAAAACTATTAAAATAAACAGCGTGTTTCATATTCATATCCAAATATGTTAAAGGCGTGTTTGAATTGTATTTAATAACTTGTAATGGACAAAGAATGTTTTCTCAAATACTATTAAGATTGCATAGAAAAAAAACTGGCAAGAAAAGAAATCCACTGCACGGTGTCATTAAATTAGTTGTAATCATAAGTGCTTGAAAAAAATTGATTTTTTGGTTATTTTCAAAATCGATTATTTTTGGAGAGAAGCTCAAATCCCAAAAATTTACTGGGCCGTTTCTAAAAGCACCTGGAAAACATTTGCAAATAATTGGGAAAAACCCTGTATACAAGACTATTTAGATGTTTAATTTAACAGGTTTAAATTATTAGACTCCTATCTGAAAGACTAACTTATAGAATACCATTTCTCTGGAAATACTCAGAAATTTTCAGGCACGAAATAGCAGCAATCCAATTCACTTTGCAGATTTTCCCAGTTCTAAACTCCCAATGAATATCTTTTCCATGCATGTTTTTATTTGCAAATCTGAAAATGGGTGTTTTTCCATGTTAATTTACTTCTTTGAACTTGAACATTTTCACAGAAAGCATTTTAATTTTATTTTTATTTAATTAAGTGCATTTTTTGGTGTCTAAACGTCGTAACGTAACACTTGCAAACAGTCTGCGTAATATCAAGGATTATTCGGAAGATTATTTTATTCTTCGTTACTATTTTTCTAAACTACGTCGAAGGTGTAGTTTCTTCTTCTTTCATTATCCCCAATTTCTTTATCTTCTACAGTTTTGTGTACTTTTATAATGCAATTACCCAAATATTTTCTATACACAGCGAAAGTTTTTTTTTGTCTTTTTAACTTCTTTTTGACATCGAAGAAGATCGATTGTGCAGCATCTGAATATCAGCTTTTAATCGCTCATTGATTGATGAGGTAAAACAACGTATCTTAACGTCGAGAACATTTCCGTTTTTTGCTTTAAACTTGCAGTTTAGCGAAATGGGACAAATCACTCATCGGAACGTTACCAGATTTATTTCGGATCATACAATACGAGCAAATCGATAAAAAAGAATGAATGAAGGAAGTAGTATGCCTCGCACTTAAGGGTTTAATTGACTTTTTCGCTTTTGTCGTTGACAACGCTCTTCAAGAATGAGATCGTCTAAAGTGCTTGTTTTTGAGCGCGGAAAGAATAAGATAAGGAAGAGCAATTAGACAAACGTTAAATATATAGGGCGCAGTTAAATTATGGTAGCAGATATTTAACCAATGAACTTAATAGTCCTGATTTATGGTGCTTTCTTTGTCACACTGCTATCAACACTTCTTGTGTTTTATCTTTCTTTTCAATTTGCTTAAGTATTTCTGTTAATATACTAACAGGAAACCCCCTGTCACATTAAGTATCTTGGGACATAACATAATGTTCATTGTTTATCGTTTATTAATATTCGGGTCGGCTCTTCCGCCTTTATTTTCCGGGATAAATTTATCGTGCTTCCAAAACTGCCCCATAAGCCTAAATATATTAAGAGAAACCTAGAGCGACAGGAGATGATATATTTAGCATTGTGAGCGATGTTCGACTGGCAGGATCGCATAAACAAAGAGAGCTGTAAAGTTTGTTGATTCAAAATTCAACTTGCTTCGCAGACTCTTCATGTTTGCTATAGTTGTTACATTCGTACTCTAATTGTTATAGATTTCCTCATATTTTGTCATTGCTTACGTAAGAATTGCTTAGTCCCAATTTGAATTATTTGAAAATAGTGTAGGTTACCCAATAACTCTGATCCAATTTTTAAAGGACGAATTGTGCGTAATTTTTCTTATAACTATAAGATGAATCTGAAATGTTTACATTTGAGATTTTTCTCATAAGTTCTTTGTTGGCTAGTCACACGCCAGGAGTATCTTGCTCTAACTTTGTTGTTCGTGATATTTCTGTACACGTTACTAAATCGAAAACATGTTTAATCAAAAAGTTTATATGCCGTTTTCTAGAAATGGAAAAGTTTTCCGAGTATTCCACCTACAGGGTGCAGTAGTCACAATGCCTCGAAACATCGCCTGAAAACTATGAAAGCAATTTCAATAAGGTAGTTATATTGTTCCTAAGGTCTAAAGGAAAGCGGTCTAAACTCCAAAAGCGTAACTTCGAAAGAGAAATACTTATGTATTTTAAGCATTTGGTTTTCTAGGAAACTTTTAATCTGACTTTACCGATAGTAAATTAAATGTACAACTCTAAGAATATTAAATCAGTAAACGTCTTAGTTTTTTTCATCTAAAGTACATCTTAACCAATTTAGTATCAGCCTTTCAATACGTAGGTACTTATATTAGTGCGCATTTAGCTCATGGCCGGTCACACCAATACATTCACAAATATTCCTATAAGAGGAGTGAATTAATCAATTAATATTGACCAAACCTTCTCCCTAAACGCCGCTGCAACAAAATTAATCCAATCACTTACATTTTCCCGTTCGAACTGATAAAGTTATAATCAACAAGATTTCATAAAAAACACTGGTAATTTTTAGGCATTTGCCGTATTTTACCCTCGAAAACCAACTTGTATTGCCTCGTTTACTGTAGCAGAAAACTTCTGATTTTCTTCCGACCGAGAACATATCCTAAATTAATCTGGCAAGCCAACATCATCCACCCTCTCTTACCAACAGGAAATTGGAAATGTACGAAATGATGCTATCAAAGGTACTTTTCAGTACGGCGTCTCGGAGATTGCGAGATTATATTGGGAAACCTATCAAAATGGGTTGTATATCAATGTAGATATGGATCGTAACGATACTGACCACAGACTATACGTTGCGAGAGCCCATGTTCATGTTGCTGACTTAATATATCTGTTAGATGTTTTGAAATGTTCGGTTGATTGGTCACATAAATAATATGAAAACTAGTATCTTGAAGCAACGAGTTTTAATTGACTTTAACATTTTATTTTAATTTATTAAAAAATTAATTCAATTTATAAAGTTTTTTTGTGTGATCAGTTTCAATCACCACCAGATCAATTCGATCCAGCAATGGCTCAATCCAACCTTTACCATTTCTTTTTAAGGGCATAACTTTTAGGGACTTATCATATTTAATTTCTTTATTTTGATTATAGTTTTAAAACTTTTTTATTTATATAGTAGTTACTAAAGAATTACATTCAAAACCCGTGACGAGAGTTAGTTATTTGGTAACATATAAATGAAAAACAATATTTTTTTTAGTGTTCTTCTTGCAGCTCAAGACAATTTTATGCTCGTATGTCAAATAATGAAGCGGCATTTCTTATTTCACGTTTGTTTTCTCGTGATTATTGCGCCGCCTTGCTGAATACGCTCCAATAATTTCTCTTTGCTGTTTGAAATTTCCAGGCAGCATAGCCTTGGATTTAGTAAAAAAAATGTTTCTGAACATAGTAAATGTGTTGAGTTGTTACTTGGTTTTATTAAAAACTGTGATTTATTTTATAAGTTCATAATATAATCATTAAAACACAAAGATTTTAGGATATTATTAGCCCTCAATATGTATTGCAATTTCCTTGTCTAAGAAGTATTTTTCATTTTCTCATATCTCCAAGTGTGTTTAATCAGTGACTAACGGACATACAACTAACGGCTAATAAAATATTTAATGAAAATAAATCAAATACTGCAAACCAAATAGCACCGTTTTAAGTGACCTGAAACATCTTGTGCCAACCTTTAGAAAATTGTGATCTGTCGAATAAGAATGAGTAACTCAGAGGCCAGTCACCTACTTGGAAAAACGTTTATTAATTAAAAATGTGATGAACTTTTTCTTAGGTGTTAAAATAAAGTTTTGAAGTGATAAAACGTTACTCGTAAAAACGGAGTGACGTTTTTTGAGATGTTAAAATTCCAATCCCGGGCCTCGTAAAGCTTTAATCCGCCTATAGCTTAAATGCTAAGCATAATTCAAAGTGCGGCGCAGTGAGCCACAATGAGTTATAAGGCATTAGCGCACAGAGCGGCAAAAAGTCAAAAGCGCAACTCAACACAGTGTTACCCATGCCTACTACCGAATTCGTGAGAATGGCCTCTTTTTCACAAACTTCAATCAGAAAGAATGTGACCAATTTCTATAATGGTAATGCCCTTAAAGGAAACAAAATCACTACTGCTTCTAACAACAAGTATTTGTCATGCTATTTAAAAGCAGAATTAAGAACAAAAACATTCAAAAAGCTAGTTCTTGCTGAAATAAAGTTTGTTTGAGATGAAGGCTTGAAGAAGTTTACTCTTTACATCACTCACAATGTTTAACTCATTATAAACATTTGAAATCATTGGCAGGAAGTCCCAAAATAACTCGACAATTTCCTGGATTTAAAATGTTATAGAGCGTGTTTTATTAGTATGAAATAGTGTCAATGCGTAAATCGTTAGAGATGGACAAGAAATTAAAAATATGAATTTTGTTCAAAATCTATACATGCTAAAATAATTGTGTTTCTCAATAGAGTTTAGGTTTTTGTAATAAAATTAGCGCACCTAGTTGTTTTCCTGATTTCTGAATTCTGCATTAAATTTAGAATTATTTGATACCCCCTAGTTGCCGTTTGCTTGTCTCGTTGACCGACAATTCATTCTTTTGCTAAAAGTATCTTTTGTAATGGGTATTTTGAAAATTAATTGCTCGCAGAGAATAAAAGACAGTAATTTGGTTATTTCTTTGTCTTCCAGAAGAATTAATGGGCTTTCTTCCTTTCCAATTACCAAAATTGAAATATTTATATTTCTAATTTTAGGTTTTTAAACAATTGTAATATTAAACGTATACCGAAAATATACAGAAAAAAATTAGTCTTGAAATGAAACAAAATCTTGAAATAATTGTGAACTACTTACATTAGGAAAAACCACATTGGAAGAACTCTGGGAATACTTTTTAAGGAATCATAATATACGATTTGTTAATTCACTTTAGAAGTGAATTACATTTTTGAGTTTTAAGAGTTCTTCCAAAGCGGCTCTTCCTAAAGGCATTGGCACTTTCTTCTTTAAATGGAATTTATTTAATTTAGCGACGAACCCTGTGAAGTATTGGCTTGAGCCGACGGGATAGCCATTAATTAAAAATCAATTTTTATTTGTTTATTTCGGGATAAAATATTCTAAAAACATAACAATTGTAAAATAATTTTTGCGCATTTTATAAGGTTTCGATTTTGATATTGCCAAGTACCAAAACATAGACCCTAAAAAAAGAATAGAAAATATTAACTAAACTTAGCAAATGCGACGCGTATTAATTACTTGTCCACTATTATATGCTAATTGTTTCATTCTTAGAACTATGGGGTACCCGGATTTAAATACTTTGATAAAAACGTTAATGAGTTTTGAAAGCATTTTTGTATTGTATTTGTATGTAGGTCAAACTCCCACAATCTGAAACACTAAACTGAACACTCTGAAAATCCAAATAGCAACTAAAATTGCAAGATAATTATTTTTACGTCAAATTTAGAGAATTGCAAAAAAAATATGGTTGCAATAAATGTGGATGATTTTTAAGGTGTTACAGGGATGACGGAGATCTGAAAAGAGTGTGCAAAAACATTACATTTTTTGCACCAACGATCCCGCTATATTTTTTACTTCGTTTCGTTTAATTACGTTTCGCTCTCGTTCTTCGTTTGCATACACCTCCACTGTGAGGGCATGGACTACTACTTTAGTTCAACATAATTGTTATTTCTCTTGTATGTCTCTCAAACTAAAGTTATCAAAAAGGCGACTGCATTCCGAATGATTCAGTATTCTATTTATAGTATAATTCATTTGAGAATACAGCATAATTAAAGAAAGTAGAAAACAAAATTGTAAAAATAATGTCAATTAAATTTAGCAGAATTTAGAACAACATTTAAAAGGGATGATTAAAATGAAGAAAAAAAAGCTGTAAATGAGAAGCTTGTAATTAATTTATTAATCTCATGATATGGCAAGAAACTTCCGAGTTATGTTTTGATTCAAAGTCGTAATGAAGAACGTTGCTAAATAATTAAAACGGATTTTGGGACACATAAACTTTCATTGCATCACTCAAGTTAACTACTACAACTTTATTACCATTCGCTTAATACGACTGTAAAGCAGACTGCTTATAATCATAGTTTATATTTGGTCCCCTGCTTTATATGCGTTTCGCATAGGTTTCCAAAGGTTGCCATTAACTTTGCAGGGGATTATTTTTCCACTTGCTACTCTAATTGGAGCACAGCTTTTCCCTATTTTTTGTCCTCTGATAAACAGTTCGTTTTACTGTGAGGTCGAAAAAAAATTTGCAATAATCCATTTGAAAATGTATTAATTTGATAAGAAATTATTTTTGAAAAGAAGTTAAAGTGTATCACTTAAGGAATAGTTCTTAATTAATTTTATTAGTATAATTGGCGGCTGTGAAGTAAATCATAAAAATCTCTATCGCCATTAAAACGAGCATTTTGTAGTAAACAATAAATAATTTTGAGCACTCTATGAAAAGAGTCCATATTTGTCTGAGAAATCTGCACAGGATCTAAAAAATAGAGATAAATGAGTAAAATTTACTTCCGAAAAAAATTTCAAATTGTGATTTCATAAGCAGAAATTATTTACGTCCATGCCTGCATTTACGTGTTTTTATTTTCAATTACTTAGTATTAAACTGCACTTTGTTATTTACATTTTTATAGACGCGTCTGATCAATCTAATAAGTAAACAACTTTTTCATGCTGGAATTTACTGGTAAGTCTTTCAGTGTCTCCCAAAGATAACATGGAAAAAGGGCAAAATGCTGCTTTGTGGAAATTTAATAAAGTCGCCCCAAGTAAACTTAAAAATCTTTTATCATTGTCAGATGGGTGAGGTTCCTTCCGCATTTCGGACAATAAGAAAGGACGCAAGAAAGGGTTGGGCAATATTATGGTTAAAGGTGACAATTGCCTTGACTTCTGTTTGGGTTTAATTGGTTTAAGATTGAGCGATTAATTCGAAGTTTGACATTGCAATTATTATACCCGCTAGTTATTTATTTAAAATAGAGGTTCACGCCCAATTGCGGTAAAATGTAGATTAATAAAATGTGTGTCGTATACAAACAAATTATACATACTAATTTTAAACAACTGTTTTTATTTTTCCTGGGCGTTTTTTCAAACTATAGTACTGAAAAAAATTAGGGTGTTTTTGATACCTTTTCACATATAACTGATATTGTAAAGCAGTTGTTCAATAACACAAACATAAAGAAATTAATGAAACTTGATCGAAAAATGCAATGGCACGATTTTTAAACAAAAACTCTAATTTAACCATTGAGTTTATCTAATGTTAATTCACTTACCTAATAGGAGCTAACGAATCTACATATTTTCCTATGAAGATCTTCTCCCACACCCACCCAAATCCACAAGCAGAACGTCACTTAACTTTTTCTTAACTTTGACGCACAACATTTTATAACAAATTACATCCCTGAATCATTATCCTACTTCTATAACATCGGGAGCTTAGTTTTTCAGCAAAAATGCTTTACTTTCACTTTGGGCAGATTATACTGCAACAAAGTGTACATGCTGCAGTATTGTGGGATCGCTCGGACGTGTTTTGTTCTGTGATTTTTTCCGCGCGATCGTATTCTAGAATCAGGCTTGTTCGAGGGAACAACCCTAAGTTACTAACCATTGGCATTGCAGCATCCCTTTAGAATCTCTTTCGGGGTTGGTCCCGAAATAGACCGATACGTTCCGAAGTGGGGCGAGTCTGCTTACGTCAGTCGATATTTTGGATTTTTTAAGAAAAACCCTCAATAGGTCTATAGTAGTTCTAAGCATTAAATAGTAAATATATCATGCAACAAGATATTGACCAATTGATGTATCATTGAGAAGAAATTGATTATCAGTTGCCCGATGTCTCTGCAGTGCTCTTTGTCCTCAGACTGGATTTTATGAACATTTTACTAGTGTGAAAGCGCTAGACAGTTATTTCTTATTATGATTTAGAGCTTTCAACCATAATCGGATAAAAATGAGCTGCAAAAGAGCGCACATTTATTACGCATGCCGTTTTGGTAAATTGGGCAAAGCAAAGTAATTAAGTGCATGTAAAAATGATCTGGCAAAACGTGTTTTAACATAAATCAACGGGCATAATTCGAATATTCATTAAATGTTTGGACTGAATGAGAATGATATATTGCATCAGTGACTCTATTATAAAATACAACTTAGCATTTAATGTTTTTTGAGTAGAAACTTTGTAAGATTTTCCGATAGATCTGACCATATTCTGGTTCTGTAAATTTAAAAATAATTAATTTTATTGGTTTTAGATTAAACATTCCCTATACTGATTTCTCGAAATCTACTTGGATCTTATGCTTCAACCCATTCATTAGTTTGACAATATTTTCTTTAGATTGAAACCACCAATTCGTTGATCGAGCAATTACTCGTTTTTTCATTTCGATTTTTAACTGATCATTTTTCCAGTGAACGTATACAGAGGCTGTACAAATGGAAACAATTTTGTATCTCTCAGACACATAGACATTTTAATTAATCTGGAACAGGTAGACAAATAAAAACACAGCAAGTGTGTCACATGTTCAATAACACGCATCCAGATCATTTAATCAATGAAGCTCACATATTTTCCTGGGTGTTCGATTAGAAGATACAGATCAATACAGTGAGCCTCCAAAATTACCCGATCTTTTACCCTTGGATTATTTTGTATGGAATTATGTGAAGATACGTAAATTGATATATTGAAGGCTTGAAACACCAAATAAAGAAAAGTGACAAGATCATAATAAAGAATGTAGGCATTTGAACTTAGGCTTAGATATTGTAAAAAAACCAAGGATAGCAATTGGAATATTTTTTTACATTTTCTTCCGTGTTCGGTGAATTATTTCCAAATAAGAACTATCCCATTGCTTAGAGTTTTTTGTTTTAATCTCCGTTATCGTACATTTATTTTTATTTATTACTATTTTTGAGAAGGTAATAAATGAATAGAGCAAAAAGTAAATTTTCATATCCTAACGTTTTTAGCGACTTTTAACTTAATTGACCATTTTGTTTGATTTTTAAACAAGTTAATTTTACCAACACATTCGTGGCATGCTGTTTTTTCCAGTTTAAAACCTGTACATGTTAACAGTGCGAAATATGCAAGTTTATCTTCAAATCCCTATTTTTCTTGCAGTTTGCAACCGTATTTGTCTGCGACTATTCGATTCCAAGCATTCTGGAGTGCTTTGCTTAATGATACAACAAAATGTGGCAAAACACTATACTTGGTATATATTGCCTTAGCGGAAGTGAGATAACATAAATAGAGAAGAAGGGCGCAGGGGAGATTGTTTGCCGTCTCATTTTCTTATTAGAGCAGCCCGAAAGGAATTATTGCTTTAATCACTCTTGTAAAAACCTTAATGGTATTTTGCAACTCGAAGACTTTGCAAATGAAGTTACAAAATTAACTAAAATTTTGTCTAAAAGATTGATTATATTTGTCTTCTGCAGACACATTTGCAAGAAAAATTAATAACGGGCTTGCGATTAGCCGAAAAAATACGCTTAGAACAGCATTATAAATTGGGTTTAAATCGAGATTACTAGAGATCTTAAATGTATATATGCAATTGTTCTATTTTTATTCAATGGAGCATTACGCTCCGATCTAAATTTAAACATTCGACACAAAAATAGAGGCTAAAGGAAAATCGATGTTCATTTCCTAAACGACAATTTGGTTATCCAACGTCGGCCAGTATCAGGAAATTCGGAGATTAGTCATATCTGAGCTATTCCGTGAAATGAAAAAAAGCTTGGTAATTGATGTATATATTGTTTGCGTTTGATATTCAATCGCGAGTTTTAAATTGAATAACACAAAGGCTTTTGTCGATATGAATTGACTGACTCATTTTTTCGATGTTTTTGTATTGTAAATAAGAATAATAATAATCCTTAAAATCCAGTTATATAATTATTCAGTCATCATTTCACAGAAATTGAACAGAAGACACACACAGTCGCTCTTACATAGAGCTTCTCACAATTAATATTAGCTGCTGCGGGTGCTACGCGTAAAAATGGGACGTAACAAAAACCTTTTTTGAAAAAAAAACTTTTTTAACAAGTCTCTGTTAAATTTAAAATATATATTTTTGAATAAGAATTTGAGAGCCTATCCATCACGCATCGGAGAAAGAATCAATCACACTTTTAAAGGAACGAAATTTTTACTTAACTTTAAAGAAGCAAAGTTTTACATGGTCTTGAATCATTGCATCTAAAATTCGAACTTTACTCGTACGTGCTTAGTTAAGATAGATAATATAACATAACATAAATGGCCGAGAAAAGGATACATACAAGTTGGTTAACATGTTTGGAAGAATCTAAATGCATTGCAATATGCAAAACATTTCAATTAAAAGAAGCATCTGTATACTGTCCGTTTCGGTTTCGGTCCAAGGCAACATTTTTAACTTAGGTTCCGGTACGGTTCCGGTTTAGACAATGTTTAGCAATTTGTTTCAGTTCTTTTCCAGTTAATTTCGGGTACAAAATCAATATGTATAGTATAACGAACGAGAACAAACGAAAGATGCAGGCTACTGTATCTAGGAACCTCATCATCTTTTCCCTTGCTTGTTGCATTCTACAAGATAAAAGAAGCGCAAACAATCCACTATTTCATACTGTACAAAAAGGTATATAAGGATTGAAATTAAGGTAATATTAAATGGAACAACATTGAAATACGGACTCCCAAACAAAAAAAATAATCGTGGTATTTTTGGAAAATGGTTTTTTCCTGCATTTTCCGACTTTCGCGCTTTTTCCGTCATTCCGTTTGCACTCAGGCCCACTATTTTGTTAATTCCTATTCTTTCAGACTTATTTCCGTTTAACAATTTTCCTCTCTGGTTTGTGCCTTTACACTCTTCACAATCGTTTGAGGAGTTGGTTTTGCTGGGAATTCCAATTTCAAATGTTTCGTTGTTGGTGATCGCAAAACAAAAATAATTCATCTTAAAAAATGATTTAAAAAGTAGTGTATGAACGTGCGGTGTTTGTTCTTTGCATGTACGGGTATGACTTGGCATTATGAGTTTTTTGGTTTTTTGTTCTACTTTTACCAGGGACGCGGACCGGAACCGATACGGAAACGGGAACGGGACCGTTTTTTTTGGACCGGAACCGAAACTGAACCTATATTTTGTATTAACGCACTGTTAAGGGCTGAATCGGAACCGAAATATTTTACTTCGGTTTTTTTTCGGTACAGCTTGTTATTTTGCAGGAAATGGGTTTTTACAATTCGAAGAACAGTTATTTCAATTCGGTCCGGGTTCTTAATATTTACTTTCATTTTTTGCTATTGAGGGGTAAAATTCAAAAACTGAAGTAGTAATTTCTTTCAAGTATGTAAATGAAACGGAAATTTATTATTTTCGGAACCGAAATAATATATTTCGGTTCCAGTTCAGCCCTTAACAGTGTGTTAATATAAAACATGGGTACAGTTACGGTTCCGGTCCAGAAAAAAGCAGTTCCGGTTCGAATCCCTGGTAGGTATAGCCGAAAAGCTTCAGTTACTTAAAAATGCTTTTTCTCGAACTTTTGCAACTGTTAGTTGTTTAGTTCAATAATAATAATAGCTGCATTTGAAAATAGAAAACACATTGATTGTTTTTTTTGTAGTAGTTTACTCTGTCCCTTTTTTTAGGTAAGTTGTAGATTGCATTCATTTTCTTTCCTACTTTTTCTGTAATGTATTTTAAACGTTGACTTCTGATAAAGGGTTGCATATACAGATAGATTCGAATGCAAACGAAAACCGTTAAAGGACATACTGATGATACGAGAAAATGTTCTTATCATGCCAGTTTCCTTTTCAAGATGAAGTCAATAAACGACTGAAAAAGAGTTGATCTTTTTTTAAGTTTCATTTCGTCTTAAGGTTAAGTTAATTGCCATTTAAAAAGACAAATGTATCTACCGGCAAAGCCCACTTTAGACTCTACTGCAAACTAAATTATCAAAATAATCACGGTTGAGCGGACGCAAATCCACTTGCAAAGATACAAAGAGGTCATCAGCATCACTTAAGCTTAAACGCATGGGGTGGAATTATCAGTAATCATTTAATAGATCCCGTATTTCTGCTAGGACCCTTAAATAGCCAAAGTTATATTAATTTGCTTTAAAACGAATTGTCACTACTCCTTGAAGCTCATCACAAAAGTAGAAAAGTTATAATTCTGAATTATAAAAACTATCAGTCTAAATCAGCTTTCTTTTGTGAATTGAAGCAATAAATTGTTTCTTTAACGTGTACTAACGACATGTCAAAATCAATTTTAAACATTTATTTTCACTTTATCAAATAGTGTTGTTCATATAGGTAGAATCACCTATCCGAAGCCAAAGATGGATGATTTCTCGAAGCTTCCAGGACACCTCTCGTGATAAAGTTGACATTTCCCGCTAAAAGTCTTAAAAAAGTCCGCTTCAATGCCTTGCGAGCTGAAAAAACATCGGAATATTCAATATCTCTCCTCACGTAACTGCCTGGAGATGACTGATTGTTTTTGGAGTGAGCTTTTTATTATAGACAGAACAGAAAAATTGTTACTGTCTAGCTTTATAAATTGGGGTTGGTGGATTGACCGACCCAACACATTGGCACTTTATTTAACATTATTTTAGACTTTTTTTTGGGCAGTATCAGTTCGCTTGGTTTACTGGAATGTCTCGAATAAAAATACATTTTAATAATTATTTTAACACTTATGTAAAAAGTTATTGCGGAGTAAACGCGTAAAATGGGACTACGATCAAAAGGAAGAGTAAAGCACGGAAAATATCAGAAACTAAAAAACTATTTTTAATTGGATCTGAAACTCAACAACTCTTTGAAGAAACAAAGATGAAAATTTAGAACGCTTCTTATTTCAGGTCTTATATTATTGTAATTCCATTTATAATTGAATTTCTGGTTTGTAAATAAATATACAAATACAAATACATTTTTATTATACCATATTGATTTTAGATTTTCACTTTTGGAAATGTCACTAGTTTTTTTCCTAATAACTCTTTCAGACAAGATTTGCATTTTTTGTCTTCGAATAATTGTATATGTCTATATTCTTTATACAAAATATATTCTGTGGCTCTTCTGTATTTAAATCCATCTTAGATAAATAGATAATAGATTAGATAAATAGATAAAAATAGAAATTGCTTTCTATGCAAATGTAAAACCATTTTTTTTACATTTGCCTACACTTCACCCGTTCTTGTTCGCGTGAATAATTGGTCTACTGCCTGAATTTCAATTTCTTTGAGAAGCAAACTAAATGAACCACAAAATTAATTTGTATTAGTTTTTATTAGTTTTGATTGACTAACCTTGCAACAATTTTTCCGATTCCACAAAATATTCCACAGTTTTTTGCAACAAATGGTTGAGATAAAATAGCACATGCTTTGCTTAAGACACAATTTACCATGTTGGCCAGCATTCTGAAATAAATACGAGCATTGAATGAAAATCATGAGAAATTAATTAATCTGTTGCTACTTACGGATTTTGAATTTCTTCAATATCATTGTGTATGTCTCTTTTGAAAAAGTGCATTCTCTGCGCGAGCGTATGAGGTAAATCGTAGTTAATTCGAAAGCCCCATCCATGAGCCAGTAAAGTGGTATAGTTGAGTATATTTTCTTTGCCATTTAGACGAAACTGAAAACAACTGATTTTTTATGATTATTGTATTTTACATTTTAATAAAAACTTACAAAAAATTTGCTGCTTTTGGTGAACACGACCTTTCGTTTCACCCGCTTTTTTATGGAAAACTCAGTACCATCTACATTCAGCAGAAGGTAAGCAAGCACGAAAATTATCACCACACTGAACTTCCATTGAAAAAATTGTTTCAAATTCGTCATTTTCTTCTTAGATTCTATAAAATATGGCTAATATTGAATGAATTGTACAAATCGATTCTAATCACGTGTGATGAAAAACATTTTTTTCAATTTATTTGCCTTCCAAATTGGTCTAAATGCCCACTTCTTTAACAGTTATGTCCATCTGCCAAAGCATACATTATTCACGTGTTCCTTCTCATTATAATACGTAAACATAAATGCTAGTAACACTTATGTAAATTATTTAAGTCTTTTACTTGCTTACTCGATTGGTAGTTTAATCCAGTTAATTTGAAGCTGTTTGTTGAACTTATCCAAATTAAAATAAATATAATTCATATTATTTTTGATTAGGTAAATTTGGCCCTTCCTCGAGTACAAAAAATTGCACAAAGTTCGGTTTATAAAATAAATGTAGTCCAATTTTTGAACAACGTAATGAAAGGAAAGTCATCGAGAGTTTTATAAGGATAGGGTCCCTAAACATGTTTTCATTTAATATGACTTTCGCAATTGAAAATAAAGTTTAGAATTTCAGTATACATCAAAAACTTTGAGCACTGCAGAAATATAAAATCATAAATTTTAAAAATTAATGCAATTAAATTGGTTTTCTGCCTTCAAAGCTTTACTTTACCAGATGGAAAATTGTCGACTGAAACCCATTTTCAATCATTAAAATCGAAATTTAAATCGAGTGCAATCCCAAAAACGTGGAGGTATCATCAATTCACCAAAGAAAGGCAAATAAAAGGTTTGAGTTAGCAAAAAAGCAGAGAAGTGCGACAAGAACAGAAGTGGCAACAATTTAAAGGGACAGAAGTAAATTTAAATGACCATTACAGAGTTCCAGTCGCTTGGAACATTTCATCAATCAGCCCTTCATGCGGACTGTGCCATCGTACACGAGCAAAAGATCCATAACATTCATAAAATCTGGAACATTCAGAAGAATGTTCTAGATTTTAGCAGTCTTTAAGAAAATGAAAATATTCAGTATAACAATCTTCAAAAATGGTTCTTGTATGGTTAATATAGTCAAATTATCTGCATTTTAATCGGATTCTCAAGGTATGTGATTTTTTATTGTTTCGTGCTTCAATCGTTACATTTTCTTCACTTTAAACTAACTTACTTTCCAACGTTTAAAACTGTGTAGTTTTGGTAGAAAATTGTAACATCGTATTAATAAATGAACTTCTCTGCATTATTATTAATGTTTATTAACAGTCCAATTTATTTGAAAGTGTTGTTACGTTTTTATCTATTAATTTCTATAGTATTTAAAAATGCGATTTAGAAAACATCGTAGTTTAAAAAATGCCAGTATCGTATCGAAAAAATGTATTTAAATTACCAAAAAAAAATGTCTAGAATTATCTATACTTATATCTAGCAACGCGTACAATCGATAGAAACATTCGTTGATTTATCAAAAAACAAAATTGATTTTTTAATAAAAAATTTAAAATCTTTGTTCAAAAATTAACTTGAGGGCGAAGTGATGGAGTATACAACAGGTTCTTATATCTCTGTTGAAAGTCGGCAAAGGAAAATTAACTGGAAAGTATGCCATTAATATTAAAGAAACAAACGAGTTTTTAAGTAACAAAATAAGGAAAGTTTTTGGATCGTAAGGTCTTCTGAACATTTTATAGCTTTCCAGAAATAATAGTAGTCAATGGAAAAGTTGATAATTTCTAATAGAAAGTCAATTAACAGGAGAAGAAAAGGAACTAAAGCTCACCCTGTCGATTCACAGAATTCTCTGTATAGAGGGTGTTTCTTAACAACATGCTAATATTAAAGAATGTTATTTTTAGGTCTATTTTGAGAAGAATTCTCTACTACTTCGTAGACTATAAACATATAAAAACAGGAAAGCAGCAAAAGTAAGCAATTTTCCAAGAGATTCACATTTTTAGCATCTGATTTAATAACTTTTTTATTGCGTTTAATGTGATTTTGAGTTAGCGATTCAAAATTTATTCAGGTCACTTCAATTTCATGATTGTACCGTTTCGAAATTATTCTCATAATAAATGTGATTCAAAGTTTCCTACTTACACTATAATTTATCGTAAGTCATCTAGGGAGATTTATATAATTAAAATTTTTCTTTATATATTTTCATTCTTTATTAAAAAACCGTCCATTAAATAAGAAATGTTAAGATTCCAGATTGGCTCACAAAAAAGATATTCACAGATAATTTTTTTCAATAAAAAGCAGCCGCATGTAAGTTTACACTTTGAAATCATTCACTGATTCAGATAAAGATTTTTTTTGTATATTAGCATGATATTAATGTATATACAACTCTGTATATAGTAATTATAATAAGCTAAGGAAGGAAATCTACTGGAAAATTTTTTATTGTGATATTGTGAAATTACACATGACTAGGTGTAGTAACCGACTTAATTCAATGCAGATCAAGTTTAATTATCTCATTTTGTACCTATTACATTATTGAGCAATGGGTGAAAACTACATTTTTTATGAAGTAATATTGCTCTTCAATTAATAGAAATTAGCGATATCTGTCCATTTTTCGTTCAATAAATACATATCACGGGCAATAAAGGTCACAACGGTATTTCTGCCTGTAGCAACAAAATGTGGTCTTGTATGTGTTTGCAATTAGCAGCAACTCATCAACTAGTCCGCGCTCTACATCTAGCAAATTTAAATTTTGCCGTTAAAATTATCACCATTTCAAATTAGTAGCATTTACTTAGGCTCAAGAACAATATTGTCCAGCCATGAGGCTTTTGGTCATTTTCATATTGTTATGTTCAGTCATCAGTGGAATTCGAGTCCCGGGAGAAAATCAGAACGTACAAATACGTGATACGAGTCAGCAACTCCTTTCGAGGAAAAAGAGATGGCTGGTGTATAAAGAGGGTACAAATTGGGTTTCGGTATGTATTAGGTCTTCTATTACATTAACTGTTTGATATGCTTTTATCGAAATGTATCAACCTGTAACTAACTACTCGAAAAAGTTCATAAATATGTAAAAAAATGCTTTTTATTCTATTAAGTTTCACATTTACGCTTGTCTTAGGTGATTTTTGGCATCGGAATTCCAGTACCGCTGCAATTTCAAAGTTTAACTTTGGGCATGGTTATGAAAGCTTTTTATCTACTGCCAACCAACAGCACCTACTATACTCACCCTACTATAAGCACCATAAGAAGGAAAAGATCTGCTACACGATGGAAGATTTATGAGATAATTGAAAATTATCTGGAAAGGTAACAACGTTACTTTGCAACTTAAGATGATTTATAAGGATGTTCCTCATATTTATTCTGGAAAAGTAACAGAACATTTATGTCAACTGTTGAGTTTTCTTGTAACAAATCGGCGTTTTCAAATGGTTTTAGGAACAAATATCCAGATGGTAAAGCGTGCCTCTTAAAATCGATATGTGAGGTTTCCGCTGTTCCGCTAGAGCAAAATACTGGGTTAATAGCAGAAATTTTTCACAGCATACTTACGTGAGTTGAAGTATTTCAGGTCATTTAGCGTTCGAGGATCAGGGGAAGGATTTAACTTCGAGTTTAACATTTTGCTAGAATATCCCATATATAGTGGCTTGAGAATGATTCTGTTTGCCAAGCAGAATACATTATTTATTACAAGCAAGTTATTGTCACGATGTTTTTTTACATGTTTCTTTAAAATATAAATTTTCTCATAGTATCAATTTACTGTGTTCTTCACACAATTTCCCTTATTTTTGTTCGGTCATGAACTTGAAGACATACTTGAACATATTTAAATTTATTTTTCACTTTAAATATTTTTATTCGAATTTTTATAAATATTTTTAATAAATGCAAATATACTCGTATTTTGCCATATAAACCCATACATAAAGCTTCTTCCTTTAGAGTGCTATGGTTGAAAACGACTACTGATTGTTCAATACAATTCATCTCATGTTCTTCTAGTGCAATCACAAAGAACAGAAACTTGCATTTCCATATTTTTGTTGATGGATATTTCTAAGCATGCAAATGTTTCTATAAGCCTTAATTTTATAAAATTTATTATTATTAAAATGATGTGTGTTGATGCAAGCACTAGTACGGGCCGAAAAAATGGTATAAAATCACAAGATGTCTTTTTGAGGACGAAAACTCCCTGAAATAAATCCAATAAAAGTATAAAATTTGCCATAAAAATCCATAAAATTGACAAAACGTGCTAAGAATTGCCGTTTCGTGATATGATATGAGGAAAAATAGTAATCTGTGGTTCATATCAACACATTTGAAACCGCCAGAAATTCGCTGCCAAATAACGTCTTAATAATATATAATAAAATAATGTCTTAAAGTTCTTATTGTGTTCTCATTTTTATTAAAGCCTTATTATATTAACAGCCACTTCAATCTGTATAAATATGGGCTAAACAGCGTCAGTTGGTACCTATTTAATAAACAATTGCTTCAACCTACTTTCAATCAGTGGAATTATTGTATGTAAATTGGTTAAAATATCCCAGATACTTCCAAATTAATAAAAAAAAATTATATTAGACTCTTGTGAACTTGTCAATTTTAATATCACCCACCTTTGATATGTTTGTATTTTACAACATTTTTTCAGCAAATTTTTGCTTATAATATACTGATTTAATTGATGAAATGTTTCAGCCCTTCTTCAACTGACGACGAAATAGAAAACCATATTCATAACGAATACCATGCAGCTGAAAAAATAGGAAAAGAAGTTAAAAATTGCGCTCATATATTTCCTGAATGCCCAATCGATCCTGTGCAGCAGTTTTCAAAGTTCATGACAGTCAATAAATTTGTGCATTGAAAACGGGCGAACATTAACTTGAAATAAATTAAATAATTTTTAATATTTATCGTTATTATATTAATTTTATAGAAGATTGTATTTGAAACTGTGAAATTGTTTAGCGAACATAAAGAATGCTTAGAAATGTTGAATATGTGTTTGATTACCTCACAAAAGGTAATTAAACGAATTTTAAGTGGCAAACAATTTTGTATTCAGCAAAGAGACAGAGCGCTTATTTGGAGTTATTGAAGCACGAAATATTCCAATTGTTGTTCTTCAAATAGTCTCAACTTCAACTTTTTCAAGTATACACGTATGCATTCGTGCGTACCTACTTGAAAACTGTTGCTTGCCTAAACTGTAATAATTAATGAGTATTAAATTTCGATATTCGATATGATAATCAGTTTTTTATTGAATTTTCATTGAATAAAATGTATCTCATCAAACCAGCTTAGTAATTTTTCGGTATGTAATTCCGATGCTTTTTTCCACCTGTACAAAATCAACATCCCCAAGAGCACCGAATAAAACCTGCTACAAAACAATGAAAATTCGTCCAAATCCAAAGTTGAAATTTTAGAAACAGGCTTAAGTGAAATTAAAATTGACCAGCCCGAACCAAAAAAAGTTTCTAACTCTGTGTACTCACATACAGTTTCTTTTTTTTTGCCTTTATATGCAAAAGCCAAAACTAAAACTTGAATAAAAAATTAGTTCATATATTTTTGCAACTTTAAACATTTGCTATTCTAAAAGATGGGACTTATTGACATTATCGTGTTCAATGACTCACTAAAAATATTAAGTGAGATAATACTCAAATAAAAAAAAGCAGAAGAAATCTGAAGCATACTGTAGCATCAAATTGAATCATTTGAAAACTGTACTTTTTACTCTTTTCAAGAATAATTCGTCAAGTTCGTTGATCGAAGATTCTCAAATATTTGATCATTACATGGCATCCTACATTTCCTACACCAATACGAGTTCCGTTATATCAACATGTTCCGTACCTAATTGGATAAATGCTCCAATTTCTGAAAGCGTGTTCGACAACATTTCTGACTGCTTGTGCCTAAGTCTAAAATGAAACCCATTGCATTGATAATTCCGCTATTTGTACCCATTTGTTGTATACAAATTAAGGAGAATTTTCCAAATGTAAAGGTTCTTGATACTAGCAACCAATTATCTGCCAGAAATAAAAGATCGCTAGTGTGGAAAGAGGGTGTTAACTGGGTAGCTGTAAGTTTTCCTAAACGCTTAAAAAATATTGTTTTTTGGAATTTCACTGTATTTTAGCTGATCTTTGGCATAGGAATACCGTTTGAAGTAGATGAGCACAGTATAAACATGGGCATGGTAATGAAAGCATACTATCAATTGCCAAACAACAGTACCTACTATACTCATCCAACGATCAACTTTGAGCGCGGAAAACGATCTAATTCGCGATGGAACATTTATAAACTTCTTCAAAACTTTATTGAACGGTAATTTTTATACATAGAGTTATTAGGACAATATTTACCAGTAAATTGCTTCCAGCAATAATTACAGCGATGGAAAAGCTTGCTTATTGAAATCTATTTGCGAAGTGGCTGCTGTTAGACTAGAAGAGCGATCGGGATTATTAGCAGAAATAGTTCATACTGTATTAACGTCTGTTTGTTTACTTTTATTTAATTTTAATTTAAAAACCCGTTTTTTTTTTCACTGTAGGCCTTCGACTACAGAGGAGGAATTAGCAGATTCCAACAATTATGAATATCACGCCGCAGAGAAACTTGGCAAAGAATTCCGAGATTGTAACAGAATTTTTCCAGATTGCGATGTGAGCCCGTTAGAGAAGTTTTCAAGATTTATGCGAATTAGTAAAATTATGTATTAGTTCAAATTTACTTTGATTCAATATATTTCCATTGAACCACTTTTTTATTAGCATTGCATATTTTTCATTTATTTTGTATTTGTCTTTCATCAACTCTAGAGAATAAGTAAAAAACTGGTCCACAGTGTGCGTGGAGACAATGCGAAAAAAGTGAGTAAAAGCTTGTGGTCACAAGTTTATACAGGGTGTACCAGTTATTATTTGAGGAAAATCAAATTTGGAAACTTGGAGAAATATCGGAAGAAATATGTTACAGTTTTGGGGAATCAAAATTCACAGAACTCTTAATGTAACATTTTTTTTATATTTTTAACACCCTGTATATAAAAAATAAAAACTGACAGCATACATGAAGTCCTGATCATAAAAACGGGAACACCCTATATATTAGTATTGTGAATACTAAAAGTCGAGGAAAATAAAAAAATCTAAATAATGTGACGCAGAAAATGAAGAATACTGATAACTTACATTAAAAATTGCGCACCTCCGGAGATATTATTCTACTTATATAAAAAAGCAAATAGCGCTATGGGATTTTTCACGTTTTCATGAATGAAGAAACTCACATGAAATGCAGTAAAATGTAAGTGGATTCTGTATACCCAGTTTTATTGACGAATAGTTCTGAAAATGTATAAATAAAATAAAAATACAATTCTAAACCCCAGCTTTGGAAGAGAATACTTTACGAGGGTGTTGTTTTGACTTGCATTGTAAGCATATTTGTTTTTCAGTAATAAACTGTTTGAACAACTAAGTACTTATATCGATTTCAATATAATAGTTATTATAAATTAGAATTTATAGTAACGCAGTTACGGAGTTTTGATATTACAGTTTCAGGTTCATTTCTATTAATTATTCAATTTGTAAGCTTACAGGTTTGTGAATATATTTTTATTAATTTTAATTATTGGTAAATTCAAGTTTAGAGTGCACGATTGAACTTTTTCCTTGAAAACCTAATGGATAAACCTTTAAGAATAGCTCTGTGTAAGGACAAATATCAAGAAAAACAAATTATTCATTGAGTACGTTCTTTTTTATTACTTAAAACAGATGACATTAACTGGTCCAAAGCATTTCCCTTACATTTTGGATACAAATCATCACAGTCATGTTCTAGACGAGCTGCTTGGTCATATTGATCTTCATTTACTTGTTCATCATTTGGCTTCACTCTAAAATGGAACGATTAGCTTATACTACATTTAGCCCTATTTTATATTTTAATAAACTATTTAGCATCATATTTTTTCACTTGAAAAGTCATTTTACAAGAAGCGGTCACTTACTTGAAAATAGTTTTCAGCAATTCCGCCACAAACGACCCTTTTTCTTCTGGTGTTTGATGCACTTGACAAATAATCTTTAGCACACAAGACTTTCCATCAGTCATCAGCCTATATTCAAATTAAACCTTGAAGTACTGCAAACGTTTTTCAGCATATTAACTTACGTGGAAAACAGTTCCTGGAGTTTTCCATATAAATCTCTTCTGGTTCTTCTGTGAATGTTGTTATGAAGCTGTCTGTCTAAATATTCCATTCTACTCTGATATGACTGCTGAGTTTTTGGCCTGTATATCATGTTTCTACAATAAAACGACTAAACTACTTATGTCAAGGTGATGAATGGAGATTTACCTTTGATTGTAGAAGCTTTGCCTGTCCCAGAAGTTTTTAGGATTGTTTTTATATGAGTAACTTCTAGTTCCGGATGCACCGGAATAATCGGCTTGATGTTGATATTGCGCATCTCTTGAATAACTCTGAAATGGGCTTGAATAGGAGTTAACAGGTCTTCTGGCCTCATATCCCAGTCTGGCATTATGTCTCAGATCCAGGTTGGTTGCACTTCCAGCTTTGCTTTGCCACCCGTAGTCACTTTTATGCTTATACTCCCACGATTCGGGTGGTTGCCAATCTAGAATAATTACAATTTTCAAGAGTTCAAAAAATAATGGTAAGTTTTAACCATGTTCGTAATGATCAGGGTGTTCGAGATGAGGCAGCATAGTCGTCGGTTCTTCAGGTTCTTCTTTCTTTTGAAATTTTTTGTCCAAAAATACGGGGGTTGAAGGCAGTTCCCAAGCCAAAGCGGCCGTATTGCCATAAACAAAAAATCCTATCCCATCTATAGATGGATAAGCCAAATCGTAAACTAGAAAAAAACACATTCATTTCAGCGTAATTTAGATTTGAAAATAAAATGGGGGTCGTTACTTACCGACCTGAAAAGAACTTCCTTCAGGGAACACTAAATATCTCCGTTTTCGCAATAAGCTTGTGCCGTTTTGTCTCCTAAGCTCTACATCAATATCACTTTGCAGATCCCCACAAACCGCACAGAAATACAGAACAATAACAGTCAAAAATAACATCGCACAATAGACGTGCATCTTTAACGCATAGTTATTTTAGCTTGACATAGATACATTTCAAATTAAAGTCATGACGATAAAGCGTATGTCCAAACAAAAGCATGATCTGATACAGTTAGAAATTGCCATAACGGTCGCTGCTATTTGATTTACTGTATTCTGTATTTTTATTTGTCCGAGATCTCGTTTCAAATGGAAATGTTTATCAAATAGAGGTCGTTTTATATCATTTAAACTGCTGTCCAGTGGATCGAGCAGCAAATAAAAACTATGGCTGACCTGATTTATTGTATAAATACAAAACGAAATGACAGAATAATTAATTTGAAAAGCAATTTATAGCCAATACGATCAAAGTTTCAGCAGTTTTTGATTAAAAAGTATTAATCAATTTAACAGGGTGGTTAAGTTTTAATTAATGGAAAATTTTACAGTGTAGCGTACTTTCAGACAAAGTCTTCAAATTCATGTTTCCACCAGAGAAAGTCACAAAAAATTAGATTAATTGAAATTTTTATCTGTATTTAATTGCAGTTTTTTCTTAAATTAATTAAGGAAAATACTCATCGAACTTTTGCTAAAAGAGTGATTTGTTCCCAGAAGTAAATAGAATTTGCACGTTTTTAATTTATTTGCCAAAAACGGTAGTCTTTATTTGCTTCGTTTTTTTAGTGGGTAAAAAATTCAAATTAATCTCCTATCGGCAAACATTAACTGTCTTCTATTCACATAAAAAAAATTCAAGTCAATTGTAATAATATCCTCATTACTTTAGTTAAACTGTTTCAGAAAATCAAGCGATACAGAGTGGCCGCCCTATCCTCCGGCTTTAGCTGCATGGCAATTTATGTACGACAAGAACTTTTTCTAATATGGTTATTTTTGTTACTCTGCTGGAAACAGTGTCAGTATTTAAAGTATTTTACAAGATATTAAATTATTATCATGTAAATTATCCATAAGTTCAGATCTGGCAAATATACGAGGTGGTGCATTTGCAATATTGAACAAAATTGTATGTGATGTTGTTCATATTTCTTAAATTAAAAGAGCGAAAAGTAAGACTGAAAGAAAACCATTATGGGTTTTTCAAAACAACGATTTATTTCGTTGTTTAACGCCGAAAATAAATTTGCAAAATTTAAATTTTAGATATTTAGATCATATTTTGAAGCAAAAACTGGAGTTTTCTGAAAAATGTATATTACATTATATATGAATTGACACTAACAATATATTTAGGATAATGGGATAATAAATGATGATAAAAAATTTCAGCCGCTGTGCTTGAAAAACTCAATAGCTCAGCTCATTTACATAACAAGACATTACATTAAGGAAAATGCATAACTTAGCAATATTTTATTAACATCAACAGTCCAGTCAGTATGTAAAACAACTTCTCAAATGTGTAAAAAATGCAGTCATGAAACGCATGTATGACTGCGCAACCGGTCAACAAACCTTTTTCAAATATTTTACAGAAACAAACAAAAATTATTTGAAGAAAGATGCAACTTTCTACGAAAGAAATACGTAGAGCTTAATTTATAACCAATTAAATTAGTTTTCAATTTATACTTTTCCATATTAAGTGCACAGTGTTTGTTGGGTAAATTATTCGGTTACAACATAGGAAACACTTTTCAAAATGCTTGATAATTATCCTAAATTAAGAAGACCGGTTATTAACATTAAATTTTCTATCACAATTCATGTGTATTTATTTTTAATTTTATTCCTGAACAAGTCGCTCAATACATGCCCTTCACAATTTGGATACAATTTTTCGCAATCCTCTTCTAAATTGAACGCTTTATCATAGTGATCCTCATCAACATAGTTATCGTTTTTCGGTCTGCAATTAAATTAGTTTAACAATTAACTTTTCTAACGTTTGCTCTTACCTACCGAAAAATAACTTTAATTATTTCTTCCCACATCGAACCCTTTCTCGACGTTAGTTTGCTGACTTGGCAAATCGCTTTCAATATGCAGGTTTCACCGTCTTTGCTCAACCTGGGAATGAATTCCGAATTTCTGTTTGTAAAAGCATCAAACAAATAAAACCATCAATTTGGAAACTCACGCGGACAGCAGTTTTTCCACTTTACGGTACAATTCCCGCCGACTTCGGCGCTGAATGTGATGGGCCATTGTTCGGTTAACTTTATCAAAGGAAGTTTCCTCGGCTGGTTTAAAAAAACTTCTAAAAATTAATCTCATTGTCCGTTTTCTCTGCAATTAGTCATTTTGCTACTTACCTTCCTGCATTGTGACGGTTCCAGAATCTGGTCGGGTTGTCCTTCCGTGCGTTTTGATAATCAGCATTCGGATGGCTGTTAGTGTAAATTGTATGATGTAAATTGGGGTAGTCAGAATAGGAATCTTGAAAGACATTTGAGCCATACTCGAATGAGGAATGAGAATCGTGAGCTAATGTATCCGAATACTCGGGCAATTCTTGATAAGGTTCCCATTCTAAACAGAAAAATGTTTTAACAAAATTACTATTTTGTAGTATTTTTAGGAAAACATAGTTTTCAAAATCTATGCGCCAAGAGCATGTGTATTTACGTATATTTTGATTTAAATGCAAAATGCCGATTATTATAAAAATGTTTTCTTCAAAGAAAAGTCTGAACAATAGAGTTATACTAATTATTTTGGTTTTAAAATTGAAAATTTAAAACAGGAACTTACCGTTCTATTAATTCCTATGGATGCCTATTATCTTAATTTTATAATATATAATCTTCATTCTTATGTGTACTTTAGTCTGTAGAAGTTGAGTTACCAGATGAAAGTTTGAAATGGTAACCAGTTTTTAATAATAATTGTAAAAATACCTAGATTATCGATTATTGTAATTTTATAGACAATTTTGAAGCAAATTTATCGATGATGTGAGAAAAATCACTTTCAAAATTTTCTATTGCATCCAAACACAAAAAAAACCATTTTTTTTAGATGTACTGATTAACGGGATTTGTATATTTCTTAGATAAATCCTTACCAAAAAGCAAAAACAATTCCATGTTATAATGGAGTTCCAAACAAGCACATTGAACAAAACAGTGTAATTACTACCCACATAAAATAAATTAAAGTAAGACATAAATTTGTACAAAAGGAAAATATGAATCTTCTACATTTTTACCTTGCTTTATATTTTGATGCAATAAGCTTTAATATCAAACCATTGTTATGAAAAAAACCGAAGAAAAAATTGGAAAGAACTTTTAAATAAATTAGTGTCAACAATTGTTTTAGATCCTCCCAAAACGTTAAAATATTTTTATTTACTAAAGAGGTTTGATTTTACAGATTTTAGAAGATCGAGAAATGATTTTCTGAATAGAAAATGGCATTTGCTACCAATCCCTGAGAAGAAATGTAGAGAAATGTAATTTTTGGATCAGCTCAAACACATTTGACAAAACAAATACAGGAAAGTAAATGTAATCCTGCCCAGCCTTACAGAACTTATCATCAAGAGGCACAATTAACCCATTTACGATCTCAGATCTCAAGAACGACGAAAAAGTTTGGGTTATTTGATTAGTATTGACTACTGAACAATCATTTTAGGGTATTGTTGATTGCTTACTACAATGTGAAAATAAAATATTTATATACACAACTTGTTAAAATTACCATGCTCCACTTCAGACGTATATTTCTGCTTAGGTTTTGTACTTGAGTGTTTTTCATCTTCCTCTTTCTTGATCTGCGCTAAGTGTTTTTCATTAAGAAATATTGGGGTTGAAGGCAGTTCCCAAGCCAATCCAGCCGTGTGTCCAAATACAAAAACATTTCCTTCAATTGCCACTGATGGGTATGTTAAGTCAAAAACTATAATTAAAAATGTTAAAAGTTAATTAAGCTTTCGGCTGATTGAGTAGAAGGTACTTACTTACTTGAAAAGAACTGCCTTCAGGAAAAACCAAATATCGTCTTTTTCTGGATAAAGTTTGGTCTTTGTGGTGTAAATTATTTTCTATATCACTAGATAACACACTGCGTATGCATCCAATAAAAACTGAAGCTACCAATAAGTGAAAATTTAATTTAGCAGTCATTACGTGGTTTTGTTCATAAATTTAAAATCTCTGTTCGAGAGCTGCTCTAATAGCAGTCATTGCCTCAAGTAAATCGTCTTGTACAGGCTTTGCTTTATAAATTTGAATCTATTCGATTACTGAATATTAATTACCGAATCCCAAGATCACGGGCTGGTTAAATAAGACATAATTTTTTCATTAAAAACTGTCACACTTTACTGCTTGCTAATAGTTATAACACATAAGACCATATTTGAATAAATTGTTATACATTCCATGGGAATTGTCCATATGCGTTAATCTATATAGATGTTAAAAGGTGCAACGTTTTTGAGTATCGCATACCTAAATTGAGAATATGGTTTAGTCCAGTTGATTTAGCATGTGGTATGTTGATCAAAAATGTTTACAGTTTGCTTCTCAAATTTTCTTGGTGTACAAGAAGTTAATATTATCTCAGCGGTCGTAACTAGCTAAATATTTTCCAGAAGATATTTTACTTTCAAGCCATGTTACAAGAATTAAAGAAGTAGCAGCTTATTTTGAATATTTGTTGGAAGTCACTACGGGAGGCAAAACGTCTCAACACCAATTTTGGTAGAGTATTCTAATGTAATTTATAATAAGAATTTATTACTATAATACTGGAGATCTATTTTAACTTTGGTTTACATGTTTTCATCATTCTAGAGCTATCGAACTTTGAGCACTTGGAGAAAAAAACATTTAATCAATAGATCACCTAGAATTTTGATTTTGCACCAATTCTACATTAATTCCATTTTTTGTAACAAAATATTGGAATTTTGAACAGAGGAAAAACGCCCACCATAACGTTGTAAGAACTATTACCCAATGCCTATTTCTAGATAGTATCCATTAGTTATCAAAGGAATCCGAGCTGATTTTTATCATAAGGGTTTCAGTTTGTAATAATTGTGAGAAAACTTTCAACCTTCAGAAACTGTTTAGTTAGATGGAAAAAAATAATGTTAATTACAAAAATTCGCACAAAATATTAAAACTAAACTCAATTAATTTACATATTGGAACAAAACGGTTATTATTTTTCTAATATATTCAAAGCGTCTAAACCAGGATCCTTGTCTCAGCAGAATAATCGGAAGAAAGGTTTAGTTGAATTTTGTTTATTGACAATTAAATCACAAAAGTTCTGAAACTAAGGAAAACAATATCAATTAGAAAATATATTCTCATTTATTTGAAACTATTTTCAAAAATACTACTTGGAGTAATGTTATGTCACTCCAGAAAACCGCATAATCTATGTGTGAAAAATCGAAAACAGAAAACAAACATAAAATGGAGAATTCGGTGATAAGCAAAAACGAAAATCTCTTGGCCGAATCGTTAATTACACAATGTTTGTTATGAGTAAAATGGCAGACTGAAGATACATTTGGTGTAAGGCATATCCTAAATTTAAACTGTTAAATATGATTTTAACAGGGTGTATGTTGAAATTTTCACACTTTTTTATGGGATGAAATATACAATAAAAAATTGCAACTGTATGAATACAAAATAAATAACAGTACATAAAATAACAAATATTAACATTTTGAAAATTATCCACTAGTGTCTTACATAATGCTCCCCGCAAAAACCCAATATTTTCGAATGAAAAATGTTTTCAGTTCATATAAAATTTTACTATTTATTTTTAAGTGTATAAATAATTAAGTAAAGAATTTAGTGCTTCTTCAGGTCAGTTACTGTATATAGTTGTTTTTACATCAGATTTATCGGTCGGTTTTGCTTGTTTTGAAGCAAATGGAAAAATGGATAACTGGTGAACATTAAATTCGTTTTTTTATTTGTCTGCGTTGTTGGACAGCAGGATATTTGGCATTTGCGATCGACCATTAATTTCATTACGTATCGATCATTGGATTTTGTTATATCTGACTTTATTGCGATCTTTTCAGTTCTGATTGTGATGATTAATTTTTCACATTCTCAGTTTGGATCCAAACTAATAACAATCGTTTCGATTTCATTAATAAGTCATTCGGAAACATATACGGCCTTTTGATTTCTCATTACATTTTAAAACACAGAAAAACACTAAAACACACTTTTGATTTTGAATTTGAAGACAATCAGTCTTAATCATGTTAGATTAAAAGTCAGTAGAACTGTATAAACCTGTATTTATTCCTTGCTTGCATTTTGACTGATACATGTGAGCTAAACCTAAATTTAAAAAAGTTTGTTAAAAGGAATATTGTATTAATCAATGTGGAACTAAAGTTCATTTCTTTGAAGGCTTTATGTAAATTAGGGTACCTATAGATTAGATAAATAAGACACTGATTTATATTTGATTCGTTTCCTAATATTTATTTTCTTGTTAGTAACTGAATATTTCGTATAGATCCTTGGCAGGTCTTAAACACATCAGTACAATTCAGTTTTGGATTGGCAGCGGCATCGTAATCATCTTCATCTGTATGATTATCGTGAGGCTTGGACCTAAAATATTTTTATTGGAAATAAATAGTCGTCTTTTTAGTTCAAATAGCATTCGCAGTATTTGCTGCTTCCATTTTGCAAATGGAAAATATTTGATTAAGTAAGTATACAGAAAATTCTTGGAACAATGCGACACAGAGCAGGAAGTGCAAAAGCGACTTGCGACCAAGTTGTTTTCTTAAAAATATATTGCTTACTGGTGAAAATTGTTTATTTTGTCCAAAGAAACCTGACCTATTAGACGTAACTTCTGACCTATTAGAACGTCGTTCCAGAAATTCACAAGGCTTCGGGAGGAGAAATTAGAATGGAACACACACTCATGTCAGTCGGCTAAGGATAATTTTTTTATCTGTGTGTAGTTGCTTTGATCGAAGATTTCAAGAAACCGAGCTCATCTCCTAGGCAAGCAGGGTGTTGCTCCCGGCAAAAGACCATAAGTTTGGGCATGCAAAGTGTTTCAAGATGCGATTTTCAAGATTTGCGTTTTCTTTGCTAACATAAAATAACGGATATTCGTATGTGAAGATTCTATTCTATATCTGTAGTTCTTGTCGAAAAATTTATGATTCAAATTTGAAGACTAAATAACCGAAAGGTGCAACATGTTCAACACCCTCATTATTTCTATGCCATTCCTTATCAAACATCCTGGGGTTACTTACTTGAAAATAGCTTTAAACATTTCTTCAACCAACGTTCCCTTTAGATTCTTGCTAGGTGCTGTGTGAATCTCACAAATGGCTTTTAGAACGCAGGCTTTTCCATCCAAATTTATTCTAAAAAATCGAAAAGTATGCAATGTTTTTGACCCGAATGGTCTAAAGCTGCCACCTTACGTGGCTAAAAAACCTTCCAATTTTCTATATAAATCTCTTCTCGTTCTGCGGTGAACTTCATGGTATTTCGGATGCATGTTGAATGACATGTGTGATTTACTCGAATCATACCTAAAACGAACGTTATTTAAGTGGAGTTTTATCGTAACTGACTTTAGGTGGCTTTTAAAACATTTACCTAGGATAAGGGTGATAATTGTCTGGATTTTTGAAGCTATGTGGCTTGAAATTTCTCGAATATACATTGTTAAATTTTGAAATTCCATAGTTCCAAATGTTGTTATTATATGGACCGGCCAAAGGATTGCTATAATAGCCAGGGCCAATAAAATTGTTTCTTGGATATTTCTTATCCATTTCATCTGAGACTCTCCAGAGACGATCTTCTGAGCCCATTTGTTCATTTTCCGAATGGGAATGGTCCAAATCGGAAATATCAAATACTAAAAATAAACACTGCTAATGGTTTTCCAATACAAAGGTGTTCTAAAAGTAGTTAAAATGAACCTTCAGGCATTTCTGTTGTCGTTGTCTCGCCCGTATCGTCATCTTTATTCTCAAAATCTCTCCGATCGTAATATAATTTCGAGGTTGGCAGCTCATAAGCAAGAGCTGCTGTGTGCCCAAAAACGAAATAGGAACCCACCCCTACCGATGAATAAGTTAAGCAGAACACTGAAATACAACATCAAAAGTTTAAAAATTATTGCTTGTCCTTCATAAAAAAGCTTACCCAACTGAAACGAGCTTCCTTCAGGAAACATTATATATCTGCGCTGTCTGGATAAAAACCTGTTATTCTCCCGATCCATATCCAAAGCGATATCTGTCTGCAAATCTCGAACCGCATCTGCAATTTTGCCTCTTAACAATAGGGCAATTATTAAATAGAACACTAGTGGCACAATCATCATTGTAATAAGTCAGTCGGATGTTGTTCAAAAAATTGAGCGGGCCTCTGTGCTTGAGATAACAGTTAAGCCTTCCGTTATATTTACTTAAAATATGAAAATATCCGACACGATGCTTAAACTCAAACAATAATAATTCTTAATAGGAACGTTCAAATTAATTTGTACTTTTATTTATTCGTCAATTATCACCATCGGAGTACATCTACTACTGGACTAATGGGCTATTAGATTACACTTTCTGGACACAATTTCCAACTAATAAAAAGTTGTCATCTTAGTCCGTGGAAGGTTTCACACAATAAGAGAATATTTACTGTTTAGACAGTCGCTAGTGCTTCATTAAAAAAATGTATAACAGAAAAAAATCGGAAATAACTATAAAAAAGCCCSTGCGATTCAATACGCGGATAACTTACTTGGAGCGTGAGAGACTCAAGAAGTTTGTTTTTTAAATGGGTTCGAAAATTGATCAGTCCGAATTCCGTTAAAAAATGACAAAAGATGGGATCCACAATATAAAGTAATTCAAAGTTTAAATGCTGCTCGATACTGCAAATACCTGGAAATATATCTGCAGTTGAAAATTACATTTTCAGAAAGAACGAGCAAATGCCTTGTTGAAAAATGTGTCACTAATTATCAGCCTCTAAACAATAAGAAGCAGCTTTTACAGAGATGGTAAATTCACTAGGATTAATGGTTTTTATCTCGAGCCTTTCGAATACTGTGCTTCATTCATTAATTCATTGTTGATTCAACTAGCAAAATTGTTGAACTTCTGATGAAATATTTCACTCAATTTAACAATTACTTCAACTTTTTAATTAATAACTCGAAAACGGCAAAAATTATTCGAATCATCTTCAAAACATTTCAAAATGAGCTATATTTCTCGGTTAAGCTACTGGCTTTTGTTGCTTAGTCATGATCTTACAGAGCAATAAAAGTTGTAGCGAAGGTGACAAGATTTCATTAGAGATCGAGAGGTTGAAACCTAATAAAACTAATAAAATAAAGCTACCCGGGGAGAACTTTCTTAGAGTCGGATGCAGCGCATTGGAAAGTGTTGTGTATAAATGTACGTATGTATGTGAGTTAGTTACGGAAATAGAGGCAAAGTTAAATAATTCAAACTGAACTTTTCATAGTCCAAGAAGCCTCGGTTTGCTTAAGAATTTACAGTTGGGCGTTGAAACCGGAGCACAGCTTTGCACCTTAAGCGGTCCACAAACTTTTATTTGGAAAATATCGTAACGACCTTTCCACAAAGCGTATTAATCTTGCGGAAAAATGTAAAAACCCCGGAAAACCAGTAGTATAATTGATCTTAGTTTCACTACGATTTGCTGATAATTCAATTTAAATGTTTTCTTTTACAACTCGGAATTTTAAATATGTCTGCTAAAATGGATTTAAAAGGTTTTTCATAAGTTACAAGTCGACTAAAAATAGAAATAGATAGAATAATAGAAAAAATAGTCGTAGAAAATAGAATTCCATCTTTCCAATTTCATTCATTTAAATTGTCTAATGGATTTTAGAATCCAAATCAGCGTTTCAAAATTCAATAATAAATCGCTTTATTTTTCTATCGTATCTTTGGATATGTACCATGTAGCTGTGTACTAGAATTCCTTTTTAATAAGTGCTTAATTCTAGTAAATTGTGATTGCTTGCATCTGCTGAAACCGACGGTTTAYTTTTCCTTTTTTCTTTGGTCTCATTTTTTGTTTAAAAAATATTAYGTCTATTTCACATAAATTGAATTTTTTTATATTGGGGCATATTGTAGTTCTAGTTTAGCAAGTTTGCTTCTTTCTAGTTTAGCAAGCTTATAAATATGACCAGGATTAAATCCAAAGCTTCAAGAATTGTGTTCCAATGCTACTTTAATAAATATTTGTTTGATTCAACATTGACTGAATATTACTTGCAAGTTAATCCATAATTTTTAAGGATGTGTGTTTGCCTTCGTTACATTTTGTTTGTACAATTACAGGTTATTGTGTCGAAATGCTTTTAATGGTGTTAACGGTATAATCGATACCGTTGTTGTGTAAAATAGTTGATAATTTCAATTATCGCACTATCATACAAATATTTTCTGTTAAAAAGTTAACAATAGCCATTCCAAACTAGATCAATAACAGAAGAAATGCATTTTTGGGGCAACGTTTTTTACATCTTCACTTTGTATGGATTAATCGTTGCGGTGTCCAAAGACGATTGGGAAAAGCTCAGCAGAGAAAAGCGAACTGTGTTATTACTATATGGTCCTTTCGGAATTATACAGGTGAGTTCAGCTCTGAAAAATTTGCCAATAATTTTGTAAAATACTGATTGAGTAATTGCTAGAATGAACTGATATTTGAATAATTGCAAAACAGTTTATTATAGGCTTTGGTACCCCGGTTCCTGATCTTCTCAGACCATCGACGTCGTTGGGATATTTTATGAGAGGGTTTTATTCGTTACCGAAAAACGGCAGTGATTATACTCATCCAAATGTTACGGAATTGTCCAGGAGTTTGCCGATAACAAGATGGGATATTTATCATTCTTTGGAGAAAGATTCAGAAATGTATGTACGATTTTTCGTTACCTATTGCCATCTTTAAAGTAAGAGAAATAAAATAATGAAAACATGTTGATGCTCCCATTTTAGACGAGGACATGGAGGTAGACAATGTGTCCTTCGAGCAATTTGTGAAGCTGCTGAATACCCAATCGATAAAAATCATGGTTTCTTCGAGGAAATATTTCATACAATATTTACGTAAGTCATTTTCAAACTGTTAAATTGTGATTTTTTTAATAAAATGTTTATTCTAGACCGACTAGTACAAACGAAAAAATTCGCGATCACTCCGACAATGAATATCTTGCCGCACATCATGAAGGACGAAAATCTATGGGGAGCTGCAAGTATCTTTTTCCTGATTGTAAACTTACTTTTTTGGATCTATTTACACAATTGCTAACCAGCTTTGATAACGACTAATACATGTTTTGCTACGAAATAATACGAGTTTTTTTCCTAAACCTTTTGCCATCTGATTTTGTTTTTTCAATTTGTTTTGCAGAATTAGAGAACATTATTTTAAAAAAGAATTATTAAAGACAGAAGAAAAATATAGTTAAAATCAATTATGAAAAATTTTATTTGCTTTACAAATTCTTATATTGCAGCCTAAAATGCAATTAATGAATTTAAGAATTTCATGGTTTTAAACGTTGTGGTGAGAAAAACATTTGCTTATAAAGCAATGAGGTAA